CCATAAAACGGATGGTATCTTCACTTGGTTCCCTTTATTTGACAACTTCAAGAGCTGTGCTTTTAAGGACTAACTCACCTGGGAGTGAGAACTCAGTAATCCAGATGTCCACTCTGGATCTGAACGTACTACATTGATAGCTTCTTTACCCTTAGAAGGTTTAGAGACGTTCATTTTATTTTGTTTTCTGCTGTGTCTTGAGTGTTTTAAAAAAAAAAAAATATATATATATATTTAAAAATATGTTTATATTATATATATATTTACATATATATAAACATAGGCACAAACATGTATACACACTCACATGGTAGTCAGTGAGAATTTCCACCTTAGTCCTTCTGGAGTTCAGGTTTTTTTTTTTTAAGTCAGTGCTGCAGTCTCACAAAAGAAGTATCTGCTGAATATTCATCAGTGAGGCCTAAACCTTTGTTCTTAATCCTCAGAGACCAAATAAGTTCCAGTTTCTTCTCTCTCTCTCTCTCTCTGTCTCTCAGGCCCTGGGCTTGCAAGTGCTCTACAATTGAGCCATGCCCCCCAAGTCCTCTTTATTTCACTTTAGGTACTTCAAGATACATTTCAAACTACAGCGATTTAGTATTTCCCATCACATAGGTAGAGAATTTAAAATTTACTCAGACATACACTTGATACCTGTGGCTAATATTCTTAAAAAAAAAACCCACTCTCAATGATAAAGATTATTATTTTTCAGAAATTAGTGTGAATAACTTAGCTTGTCAAATGTGGACCTACTTTTTTTTTTAATCACAGCTGATACCTAAAGAATGATCTAGAAAAAGTGGAAGTTGCTCCCAAACTGTTCAGGTGCATTTTCTGTGTTGTCTCTGAGAGGTGATTTGGATGCTATGTTTGTTCTTGGGTGGGGAAGTGGGCAGACTTGGGCATATACTTCCAGAAATACTTTTTGCTGGAGTGGCATCTCTGAAATTGGTGTCATCTGTGGAGAGAGCAAACCCAGTCTGCATGGGGTATCATACTTCTGGTCTCCAGAACCCAGGGCCCAACACCTGTCCTTATCCTGTGTCCATCTAGGAGAGTGTTTAGAGAAAGTGGTGCATCTGTGCCGTAAATGTAAATATAAAAGACTCTTGTCCATTACTCTCCAGGGAAGTGTCTGCTGGGTAGAGATAGGAGCCCATAGTTTGGTTCTCGTAGCTGAATTCCATGTCCTGATGGCAATAGTCTTTTTCTTTCCTCACGTAGTATATGGTGATAATTATTTCACATAAAGGTGTACAAAGTTCTTCCTCACCTGAAGCCTGGTCTTCTAGAACTCTTGGAATCTTAGGTTAGCAGATATCCAGAGAACCTCTGGTAGCACAGAAGCAGGCCCAAGGCACTGTGTAAGCTGCGGAGTTGGAGACCTAAAGGAGTGAGCACTTTCAGCATGATGGAGCAGGGACTAGCTGCTGATGACTCTACAGTGTGGCCTTGTCATGTGACACTGACAGGTCTGGGAGAAGCAACAGGTTGGGGACAGAACAAAGACAGTCAAGGAGGAGCAATGGGAGTGGTGACCAGTATGTGGGTTTTACCTTCCTATAGTGAACCAGTGTTGGGTGGTAAAGGGCGAGGACTATGGAAATGGAGAATGGACAGGTTGAGGAGCAGCAGGACCTGTGACAGGGGAACAGATGACAGGTGGGAAATGAAGGCAGCAGTCAACCCGAACTTCACTATAAGAATGCTCAGATGACAACAGTCATGAGCTGCCTAGGACAGTTTTCCTAAGATCACAGTAGAGCTGAAACTTTCCTAGTGAAGTAACCAGGGTGACTTCTTAATGCAACATGTTATGTGTTTGTGGATGTGCTGGAGTAAATAAACCTATGTAGATGTGTTTAGATACACAAATCTGCTGAGTTACAGCTGTGTCATATGCAGGATGGTAATGCCACGCAGGTCTGTAGCCTCACTTGGGTTCGTGTAAGAGCACTCTGTAATGTTCACATGACAACACTGCCTAATGATGTCTTTCCCAAAATATATCCCTATAGTTAAGCAATGCCTGACTGAAGATGACATGGGGAAGATGCATCAGCCATGTGGAGCTGGGTAGAATACCAGGGAGGTCTGAGTAAATGTTTGTTGAATGAGTGCACACACCATTTCTGCTGTGTGTGTATGGGAGGGGGGGCATGCACACACATGGATCTGTGCAGAAAGCAAACTCTGAAGACAGTATGTGTGAAGCTGCAGACGCACACGTCCTGCCCTCGATCTTGGTGCTGCTGGGTCTTTCCACCCCTGACATCGGGGCACAGTGAGGTTGAGCTCAGATGGTTGATCGGATTCTGTGTCTGGTGTAACAGGGAGTCAAAAAGTGCAGCAGAGTGTGGTGAGATACCTGCCAAGAGCCAGGCTGCCAGGGCTCAGCCACTGAGGCACATTCACAATCGGGGTATGCAAAGGCCGGTGAGGGGCAAAACCAGAAGCTGGGAATTATGTTTGGTGGATGTGCAGAAGCCCAGCAGTCAGGTGGGTGTCTGGGATCAGGAGTGCCTCTGCCCTAAGGTGCAGGGCAGTGCCAGTGAGTTCAGAAGGCATCCATTCTGTATAAGACTGTTAGTGTTACTGCCATATCCCAGCTTGTGGCAGGAGTGACCTCTTAAAGACAAAAAGAGGGCTCAGTTATTTATTTATTTATTTATTTTAATTAGGATTTATTTGTTGTACAGGGGGATTCATTGTGACAATTCCAAATAGGCCTACATTGTACATTGGTTAGATCACCCCCACCATCTCCTCCCACTCTCAGCCTCTTCCCGCCCCACTTCAAGGAATTACAAGAGGTCTCATTGTTCTGTTTCGTATATGAAGCCCACAACCACATTCCCTCGCCTTCATCTCCTTCATTCACCTTCTCTCCTCGCTTAAGTACCCTCCCAACTGTACCTATGGTGCAGTCCTGCCTTTCATTATTAATTTCTAAGTCAATGTTCAAAGGGGTTCTTGATGTATCCCCACTGTGAGTATAGTTTACTTTGGCCAGTTCAACTTCCTTTCATAGGACTCAGTTTTTTAAAGAAAAATTTGCAGTTACTGTTTAAATGTTGAAATGTTTCAAAGTTCTCTAGCAAACTCCCCAAGGTGACTCATTTCCTAAATATTCCACATAAGTCCTGTACTTTGAAAGCATTCTCTGCTTTCCAAAGTGCATCTGTAGATTCTACACTGTTGATTTGATATGATGACATGAGCAAGGATGGTTGTTGTAGCTTATCACTCACGTCCTTTTAAGCCCAGTGCTTTGTGCTTGCTAGGCAGGCGCTTTAGCCACATCTCCAGCCCTTTTTGCTTTAGTGTTTTTCAGATGGTGTCTTACATTTCTGCCTTGGGCCAGTCTCAGATTTCAGCCTTCCTAGCTCTGTCTCCTAAGTATCTGGGATTATAGGTGCTTACCACTTTTTTTAGCCCTGTGTCCATTTTTCATGCAGAGAATTTGAGACAGAAATTCAACAAAATTCCAAAAGTGATTCAGCTGGCTGGTGGCTGATGGGTAGGGGGACCCAGGTGTCCTGAGTTCCAGGTGTTTTCATGACACTATAGTACAGAGGCATCCTATTGCTTTTACACTTGCTTGACAATGGCCTCAAAGAAGTGAGCCATGACAAATGTCCACGAAGAGGACAATCTGTTCTTTAGTGTTTTCACAGGACTGCCGACTGCTAAGAGATCTGCTTTTGACCCTTTACATAGCATCCTTTTACATTTTACTTATTTATTTTGCAGTGCCAGGGATGGAACCCTGTACTAGGCAAGCGCCCTACTCTGAGCTACATCCCCAGTCCCAGAAGCCTCTCTTGTAGGCAATTTCGGTATTCAGAGAAAATGAATTTGGGTTTCCTTTTGTTTTGCTTGTTCTGAAGTCCCTCAAACCTTTATATCATTATGTAAGAGATTTCAGTGCTGGGTCCAGAGTTCTGAGTACAAGTAAAGATACCTTGTGTCTCCTGTCTTTCTTCCTTTGTCAGGAATCACAGTGAGATTCTGTGACATCTTGAATTACTGGTGACAAAGAACACAAAGGAAAGAAATCAATTAAAAGATAACCTGGAAATATAAGAGGTGCCTGAAGGGCAAGTCAATGAATTGACCAAAACCATTCTTGAGTACTCAGATGAGTAGTATGTACAATTTATATATATGACATATTGGTAATTTATTTTCAAAACTGTTTCTGTAACATTATCAACAGTCATAAAGGGAATTTATTCTAGGATTTTATAACCACATCCTGATGGCATCCCCGTTTAGCCCTGCAGTGTGAGCAGAAAGTAGTTTGCTGGTTATATATATCACAAGGCGACAATTATTTAAATTTGGAGGTTGCCCAGTGAGGTGACATTATTAAGTGGCAGAAAATGTAGCGACTTGGTTGGAGGTTGCAAAAATGACCTCATTCCTGTGTTCCAAGGCAGCTGTGCTAGTGAGAGCGGATGCTGTTTCCTAGCGATGGTGCATTTCGCATCTCATTCATAATGAAAGAGAGCGAGGGTAATTTTTGGCCCATTACAGAAGGTGGTTTCTTCAGATCTCCAGTAGCATGCAGAAGCTCCCATACTGTGGAGTGTAACAATGGAAACTCTGTATCCTAATAACATCTGTGTTTCTCTGTAAAGTGCAAGGGCCAGAAGGGAGAAAAAGAGAAGCTGAACATCCAGTCCAGAAAAGCAAATGTGGGACATGTTGCTGCCTTCCACTGTGGACCAGGGTCCTGGAAGCTTCTGGACTCACCTGCACAGACTTGCTCATAGCAGTGCTGACTCTTGGGTTTCCATTTGTTTCACTGCTGTACATGTGTTTCCTCTGGAGGAGACACAGTGTTTCCTCTGGAGGAGACACAGCACTTACAGCCAGAGCTCTTGGAAGAATTTTCCTTGGTGACATTAAGTACTGATGAAGTGGGTTTGGTCTTTAACACACTTCTGGCTTGAGACATAATGTTTATTACTGTCATTTTTACATCTGTACAGGTGGCTCCAGGAAGGAAATCACTGAGCACTGGGAGTGGCTGGAACAGAACTTGCTGCAGACGCTCTCTATCTTTGAAAATGAGAATGACATCACCACATTTGTGAGAGGGAAAATACAGGTAGTGTATTTTTTAAAAAGCTTTTTAATTGGCAAAAATTCACATTTATAGAAATGTTACAAAATGAGGACTGTGTAAAACACACACCTGTTGTTTCACTTTGAAGCCCAGGCTGGTTTAGAACTTGTGATCTTCCTACCTCCTCCTCCTGAGTGCTGGGATTGCTACCATGCTCAGCTTGAGTTCTAATCTTTTAATGCACTTGTAAGCACAGACTTGAGTCAATTAGAAAATGATATTGAATGGAACTCATACATGTAGACACAAAATTGTGTCTTATCTGTTATAAACATAGTATGTGTGTATGTGGCAATGATAAAATCAAACATGAATTGTTAAACAACTAAAGTTTCATGGTGAAATGTACACACACTCAGCACCCCCCACAAACACACCTGTACACCCTATAGGCAGACTTACCTGGTGGCAGGCAACATTTCATCATTCATGTGTCCGTTTGCTCTCGTTTTGAGGGGAATTTTCTCCTAAGTTCTCCAGTGTGTATTTTCTAAGAACAGGGATATGCTACAAAAAAAATCTGCAGTTATTAATTGTGTTATTTAACACAAAAAATTTAACATTATTATTGTAACGTTTCATACATATCCTAATTTTAATTGGCCCAATCATACCTCTTGTGCTATTCTCTTTTTCCACTCCAGTGCAGGCTTCCATGGAGGAAGGCCTTGCACTGGTTTCCATTGCTGTGGTCTTCTTCGGTCTCGAACATTTCCCCAGCTTTTCCTTACTTTTTCTAACATTGATGTTATCAATTCTGCTTTTCTAATAGAACACTTTTCATTTTGCACTTGAGATTTTGTCAGATGATTCCATCTTTTGTTGGATATGCAGTTCAGGTTATTCAATTCCTGGGTGGAGCGCCATGAGCAGTTATGCTCAACCTATCATTTTTTCTTTTATTTTTATCACCTTACGTTAATAACACCAGAGGTGTCCTAGGGATAATTCCATAGATGTATATACAGTGTGCTTGGAGAAGTCACCGTCCATTGTGTTCCCTCCGCCTGCCTTCAGACAGTATCTGGTGGGTTTTACTGTGCTGTCATCACATCCTTCAGTCCCCTTGACCTCCAAGCAACGGACAGCTGTCTACTTTCCCCACCCCTTCCCACCGATCTCCAAGTCTCCCTTCCATACTAATGCCCTATTATTATCATTATCTCCATTTTAGGTCTAGATTCTGTTCATGAGCAAAAACATGCAGTATTTGGCTTTTTGAGCTTGGCTTATCTCAGTCAACGTGCTCTCCAGACATTCCTGCCAACATTTGTTGTTTGTTTTCTAGATGATCACCATTCTGATGGGGGTGAGATGGAATCTCAGTGTGGTTTTGATTCACATTTCCTTTATGGCTAAAGATGAGGAAGATTTGTTCATATATTTATGGAATTCTTCTAAGAACTGTCTGTTAAATTCATTTGCCATTTACTAATTAGATTATTTATTCTTTTGGTGTTTAATTTTTTGACCTTTTTGTATATTCTAGATATCATTCCTTTGTTTGATGACTAGCTGACAAAGATTTTCTCCCATTCTGTGGGCTGTCTCTTCATTCTTATAATTTGTTTCTTTTGCTGTGTAGAAGTTTTTTAATTTGATGCAATCCCACTTGTCAATTCTTTCTCTTATTTCCTGGGTAACTGGAGTCCTTGTCAGAGAATCATTGCCTATGCCTGTATCTTCCACTGTTTTCTCTCTGGTTTCCTGGAGGAGTTTCTAAATCTCATCTTACATTAAGTTCTTTGATACAATTTGAATCAATTTTTGTTCAAGATGTCATTTCTCAGTGCACATGGTTCTCATATGACCCTCGGTGGTGTTATAAAACCAGTCAAGGTGTTATTTAACTTCTCCATTGTAGAGTTACTAATTTTGTCTTTGCAAATGGTAATTTTTCTGCAGGAAAACATTTTAAAGCTACACAAATATCCTGCTCCTTATCAAAATTTCCCTCTTGATTCACCATCCATTGGTGATTATTTGTCTGATTCAGTCTTTAATATGACAGTTTGTGAAGTGAAGATTTACTTCTCTACTTCATCTACCAGTTGCCCTCCTTTGATTCATTTACTATTTATTATTGATGTAGACTCAACATTTCTCAGTAGCTAATATTTCATAATGGACTTAGTTTTTTTGATACTCAGACTGTCCCAGATTTAGCTGGTAGAAGTCCCCTGCAAATCGCTCCCTTAGACATTATAACACTGTGACATATGCTTCACTATTTTCTGAGTATTTCCTTACTCGTGTGTGACAGAATGTTCCCTGCTCATCCTGTACCTTCCCTAACCCACTTGGGTCAGTTTGCTTTCAGTTTTAGGTTCCTTCTCCTTTCCAGCATTGTTAATTTGACTTTCTTTTTTGAATATAGAAAACATTAACATGCTTCCAGAAGTCAAGAAAAATTTCTCCCATTTGCATCCGTGTTCCCCTCTCACTCCCCTGAGGCAACTTCAGTATCATTCAGTCTGTCCTTTCTGTGTTTCTTTCTTAAAAATAAGCAGGTATATTTTCCTTATCCCCATTTAATATTTAATTCTATCACATATGTATTGTTCTGCAGTTTTTTTTCACTTATTTGTCTTCATAACATATTATGACATTATACCTCTCTCTCTCTCTTTGCACTACTGGGGTTTGAACGCAGGGTCTACACTTTGAGCCACTTCACCAGCCCTTTCTTTGTATTGAGTATTTTTGAAATAAAGTCTCACCAGCTATTTGCCCAGGCTGGCTTTGAACTGCCATCCTCCTGATCTCTGCCTCCTGAGTAGCTAGGACTACAGGCATGAGCCACTGGCAGCCAGCCATTATTATATCTTTTCATAACTAATATGAATCTTATTAATTCATATATTAGCCCATATTAATTCATACAATTCTTCCACATGTTTTTAAAAAAAGTTTAAACATTTTAATAGCACCGTTTTTTATTTTGAAATACTTGTTAGATTTACAGAAGAACTGCAAAGATAGTACACAGGATCCCCACACACCCTACACTGAGCTGCTTCTCCATCCTTGCTAGAGATTAGGAAGGTAGGGAGCCAGGCACACAGGGGCAAGACATTGGGAAGGATCAGGTGGAGGAGAGGTAGAACCCAGATCTTAGGATGTCTGCACTTAAGTCATCTCTGAAGGTCTGGGTGTGGTGTAAAGGGAGAGAGTCCCAGGGCCCCAAATCACATCATGGAGGAGGGAGCTGGACAAAAGGGGCAGCCTGCTGGTGCAAGGAAGATGTAAAGACAGGGAGCAGGGCTTCCAGCCAGGGCCCAGACATTCTCTTCCCCTCTCCTGGCCTCCCATGGTCCTGCCTCTCATGCTGTCCTGTTTGGGAAACTGGCACAAAGGAAGAGCTATGGAAGACACCACAGCTTAGAAATGACAGTTAAGGGAATGAATGAATGGATCAAGGGCAGATTTTGTCAAGTAACCTTTTTCCTCACTGTTTGCATTGAGTTAAAAATGTCAGATTGAAGGTAATTCGGAGAAGGGTGTTGCTATTAATGCAACAATGTGTGAAGAAATGTCACACATACCAAGGTCCAAATGAGTGCACACTTTCATGAGTTTTTTCACAATTAAGAGAATCAGCAAGGTCATTTGTTTTGAGATCTAATTTACTTACAAGTTATAAATGTAGTAATTAACTATAGAGAAGACTATAGTCCAAACACCACACCTGGCATTTGTACATTTCTTTCTAGACTTCTCTGCATGTTGAACATAAGAGTAGTCTCTGTACATGTGGAATTTGGGACTATGCTTTCTGTCCCCCTTGGCCAGTCAGACAATCTTAGTTGTTAATGACCAAACTGACTCCAGAATTGCCTTCACTGGTGTCTGTCTGGAAGTCACTGGCCACAAGGCACAGGTACAAACAAAAATACACTTAACACTTTGTCCATGTAACTCTACCCACAAGTTGGGTCCCTGCCCCTTTGGAATTGGTTGCAAAATGTAGATTAATAGGTTAAGTAGTTAGAACATCTTAACAAACCAAAAAAGAAATTTTTTTGCAGTACTGGGATTTGAACTCAGACCTTGTGCTTATGCAGTGTGCCACTTAAGCCATGCCTCCAGCCCTTTTTTGCGTTAGTTTATTTTTTAGATAGACTGTCATGCTTTTTGCCCAGGGCCAGCCTCACGCAGTGATTCTCCTACTTCCGCCTTTCCACCTAGCAGCAATTACAGGTGTGCACCTCTATCCTAGCTTGGTTTTTGAAATAGGGTCTTCCTAACTTTTGCCCCAGTTGGCCTCCAATTTCCACTTCCTCACATAGCTGAGATTATAGGCATGCACCACTATACTCAGCCCCTTCCAAAATTTTTAATTTGGTATGTTAGAATTCCTGTGCGATTACACATTGCTTTCTTTCAGACTTATAGCTGTTTAAAAGATTTTATAACTTAATGTCTTAATATTTCAATTTTCTGTCTTTGATTATGAAGATGAATTTTTTTTCATGTTTGTCAAGTTCATGTTCCTCTTTTATAAATCACCTGTCATTACCTTTTGCATATTGACATCAATATTAGAATAACACATATCTAGGCTGTATTAATTTTCCTAAGTTACAGGGAGCTGATGCCTAGATCCAGAATGACCTATTTTACATTAGAACTTACTGGAAGGAGCCATTCCATTCCTGTGTTCCTTCTACTCCTGACTGAATATTGCAGTGCTAAGAACAGTTTGGCATTCTGGAGCCTGTCGTTTCCTAATGGTGGGAAGTGGAAGTGGGGGCTCTCATTAGCTTTATGTTGACTTAGTTGCCAAAGCCTGGCATGCTGATGGTGGAATGTTAGGCCCCGGTTGTTTTAGACTATGTCTCTGTTCACAGCCTCAGGAGTCCTCTCATACTTAAAATCATTTTCTCTTCAACCTTCAAATGAGCATTCTGGAAGAGCAGAATTCAGCAGATTTTTCAATAGCTTACTGGTTGTCCACTAAAAGCCACAAGGTGCCATAGGTTCATTGTACATCACTTCTGGTGTTCTCCCTACACGGTGGTCCAGAGGAGCCTCCTGGCCCACTCAAGGGTCTCTGGACTTACTCTGAGTTCATTGACCACTTGGGGTCCTGGGACCCTTCTGCTGCTCCCTGTTCGTGGGCTCTCGCTCTGTTACTTTTATGTACTCATTCATGACTTCTTATACATGTTTTACCTTCCCCTAAGGCACTGAACTTGGAGACATCACACGGGCTTTAGTTCATTTTTCAGAAATGGTGTCATGCTTTCTGCCCAGGGTCAGCCTCATGCAGTGATTCTCCTGCTTCCATCTTTCCCTAGCCACAATTACAGGTGCCCCTGACAACAAAATCACTTTTTCATCCCTCTGCCCCTCTGAGCTGACTTTTCCTCCCCAGCCAGAGGTCTGATGTCCTCATGTTTCCTCTGGTTGTCTGAAGTCCTAACACAGTACTCTGCCAAAGCCCAGTCATCTGTAGAGTAGCCAGGGTCCAAAACAGGCCTCCCTGGCCTCCACTGAGCTCAGTGCCTCCATTCCCCAGTGGAGCAGTGTCAGAGGAGTTAGAGGAAGGCAACCTACTTTACGTATCCTTTCAAGCAAGCTCTTGGCTAACTTCTCATACCAGCCACACTACCATCCTGTGTATGAAAACCAACACATGACCTCTTGAGATACATTTAGCTCGGTTGCAGTGGTGGTCACAGTGGCACACACCAGTAATTCCACCTACTTGGGAGGCAGAGATCAGCCGGATCACAGTTTGAGGCCAGGCTAGGCAAAAAGTTAGCAAGATCCCCAGCTTAACAAACAAGTGGGGCATGGGTGCATGCACCTGCAATCCCAGCTCTGCAGGAGGCACAGGTAGGAAGATTGCAGTCTGAGGCCAGCCCCAGGCAAGAAACACAAGCCTCTATTTGAAAAACCAAAAAGAACTGGGTTGACTTGAGTGTAGAGTGCTTGCCAACCAACTTAAGACTCAAACCCCAGTACTGTCAAGAGATAGAAAGAGAGACAGAGAGACAAGGAGAGAGAGAGATTGAGAGATTGAGATTCTAATTTGGGAAGACAGCATCTTTCCATTTAATAATATTGTATTGAGCTTTTTAGGCTAGATACTGGTGATTAAAAAATGTTCAAGACACTTTATTTTTGGAGCTCATATTCAGTGGTGGAGGGACATATAAACAAGATTTTCCACCAAAATGTAAATTAAAAGAGCATAGAAGTGACCTCATTTAAGACTGGCTTAATTTCATGGGGAATGAGATATTTATGCCCAACCCAGAAAGGATGACTTGACAACATTTGGAGAAGGGATTTTGCGGCACAAGATCCAGTGTGGATTTCTTTTCTTTTTTACTGGGATTCTTTGGAGGTTTTGAGGGTTGGAATGCTCAGATCTGTGCTCTAGGAAGTGGCCATACCGAATCAGAGTGTGGAAAGAACCCTGATGGGAGGCCACTCAGGAAGCCATTGTAGTAATTTCTGGAGAACTGTTAGATGAACAGGTTGAAGAATTCTTACGAGGTCGTGTTAGCAAAATAATTCCATTGTTCACTGGTATAGCTGTTGTTCATATTTTACTTTTAAGGAGAGTTGATGGTGATGGGGGTTCTGGAAGACTGAAGTCCCCTCTCTTTTTATCACCCCTCATTGTCACAACTGCTGACAGCAAGAGGGAAAGACTGGCCATGGAAAATCAGGGAATAAAATTCAAGGAACACCTCAACACACAATGCAGAAAATGAATAGGACTTATATGGGGGGGAAGAATATGGTTCAGAGAAGGTTCACATGGCAGTGGGGATGAATTAAAGCAGACTTTGGGGTTTGGTAGAATTAATGAAACAGGTAACAATCTTGTTCTAGATTTTAGGCACACAAAACGGCACGGTAACAGCTCATGTCGTGTTCGAGCCCTGAGGGTGCCCTGGACTGTCTGGACTGAGTTATTAGTAGGAAACAGGGTGGTTTTGGTGTCGATGGATCCAAAATGTACACTGTCTAGAATCTAGGACTTGCAGCAGTTGAGGAACCACACAGAATTTTGATAATATGATTTTTTTAATCAAAATTATTTTTAAGACAATAAATTTGTAGGGAACCTGAAGAATATACTAGAAGCTTAAGATCGCCAAGGCAGGAATTCTGGGTATGATGAGGCTGTTGCAGTTTCCTGTCCTGAGAATTCAGAAAGGGTCCTTCATGTCAAGGAGAATCAGAGATGCTCAAGTTCACACAGACTTAGTGAGGCTGCTGAGACCTCACCTTGAGCTCAGAGGGAATGAAGATGAGCTGGAGGTCGGGGGTTAATGATGACAGAATTCAAGGGAGCACTTTGTATTGAGCGCTGAGTGTAGAGGCCAGTTTTGAAGGAATTGCAGAGGAGTTGGGTAGCAAGGAATGACTTCTCAAGCTACTATAATGCTTAAACAGTAGATTTGCCAGTTACTTGCTATGCAAATACTTCATTTCCTGTCCAGCTGTGTCTGAAATAAATTTACTCTCATTTCTCAACTATAAAGTTTGCTCTCATCTCTGCTCAAATGACAACTTGTTTTTTTCCTCCAAGGCTTCCTGATGTTATGAACGGCTCTGAGACAGTGAGTCTCTGGTCAAGTGTCCATTAGTGATATGTGTTTGATTTTCTTTTCTCTTCTTCTTTTATGGTGAAGTTTTGTTGATTTTGAGAAAGGCAGAAGTTGACCTTGAGGATGGCTCTATCATGAAAAGTTTAGTAAAAACAACTCCTCATTTATAAAATAAATTGAGCATCATTTCAAGTGAATTTAATTAAGTAAATAGCACTACTAAACACATCATATAATCCTTTGAAAATCTTTCATCATAGAAATACTACTTGTTAATTGGCATAGAATGTGGGGGGTTGCCTTTGAAAAGAATTAATGATTTTATTTATCTTAAAAATGATTTCTTTCCAGTATGTACATTTCAACCATATTAACACCAGTCGCTTTGCATTTTACCCCTGTTTAGGGTATCATTGCAGAATATAACAAAATCAATGATGTGAAGGAGGATGATGACACAGAGAAGTTTAAGGAAGCCATTGTAAAATTCCACAGACTGTTTGGGATGCCTGAAGAAGAGAAACTTGTCAACTATTACTCCTGCAGCTACTGGAAAGGGAAGGTCCCCCGGCAGGGTTGGATGTACCTCAGTATTAACCACCTGTGCTTTTATTCTTTCCTTATGGGAAGGGAAGGTAAGGAATCTAGAATTTCAAGAGGGAAGCTTTGTAAAGTCTACTGAGGCTTTCCCTGAGCCCAGAAACCAGATCAAGTATTAGAAATACATCTTTGTATGTAACTAAGTTAACACTATTTTTTTTTATTATTTCACAAGCAGATTTAATTATTTTCAGTTTGATATTTGTAAAGAAATTAGTCATTCGGCAATAAAGAGTTGCTAAGATATAATTGCTTTAATAGACATGGACTTAAATCCATAATAATCCCAATCACAGATTATATGGTCCATATTTTGCTCTTCAGACTAACAAGGCAAGAGTGATGGGGTCAGTTAAGGGAATTTGGTGGGTTTGAGGAATTGGGTTGTAGGATTGTAGTATCTTCCATAACAGTTGTTGACCCAGCCTTGTCACCTGTGCTCAGCCAAGCTGGTGATCCGGTGGGTGGACATCACTCAGCTTGAGAAGAATGCCACACTGCTTCTTCCGGATGTGATCAAAGTGAGCACACGGTCCAGCGAACATTTCTTTTCTGTGTTCCTCAACATCAACGAGACATTCAAGTTAATGGAACAGCTTGCCAACATCGCCATGAGGCAACTCTTAGACAATGAAGGCTTTGAGCAAGATCGATCCCTGCCCAAACTGAAAAGGAAATCTCCCAAGAAAGTGTCTGCTCTAAAACGGTGGGTGGTAGAGACTTCGAGTGTCACCTTAGAAACAGGGAGCCCATTCATTCATTGATTCACATCAGCTTTTCTGAACAACTTCCGGGGTACAGATACAATATTGAAAGACTCATTCCCAGTTCAGTAAGAGAGACAGACATGACTGGTGTCCACACAGTGTGCGGGGAGTCCTTCTGGTTCTATGGACACATATGGCAAGTACTGAGCTCAGCTCACGTGGCTCTTAGCAGAGCTGCTCTGAACTGGGCTCTTCAGAGAAATTACCTATGTAAGTATAATATGATGCATATTCCAAGCAGAAGGAAGTACAGGAAGGGAGAAACCCAGGGGAAGAGTGCAGAGGGAGATCAGTCCACCATATGGCTAGAAAAAGGCAGGGCATGGGAGGAAGAGAGGCTGCAGAGAAGTCTGAAAGTCTGGATGTGGGAGCAGAGCCAGAAAGAGGTGAGGGAGAAGTCAGCCTCTAGAGGGTAACTGTCTGCAAGGACTTGCCCTCCACTGAGATGAGGAATGAGAGAAGGAAGAGATAGCTCTGTAGAACATCCAGTCAGAGACCAATCCAGTAAGACACATGAAACTGTAACTCATTGGTTATCAGGTCCTAGCTGGCATCTGAAAGTAGTGGTCCTAATTAAGATGCTGGTGATTTGAGACATGTTTTGACACAATGGTGGGGGATGGATGTCATTACTGCAGTGGATTAAATAGCAAATGATAGTCAAGAAAGCAACTAGGCAAGTGTAGACTGCTTTGTAAAGAAATGCAAAGGTAAAAGGAGTGGGGTATTACTTTTTTAGAAAGGAAAAAATTAAACAGGGTTGAAGGAAGGAGGCTGGTGTGTTGGTGAGGGTAGGTGCAGGGGCAGAAGTGTGCATAGAGAGTAAGCTATAAGAACGTATTGTGGATGCGTGGAGCATATGCTTATGTGGGCTCATGCCTTAGGCATTGGTGAGAATGTGGTGACTTCATAACTAGAGGATCCACTGGGGGAGCTTTTGCATTCAGCCTGTCTGCATTGTGAGCCATAAACCGGACCCTGGAGTGGCTGAGGGTGGTGGAAGCTTGAGGGGAGAGGTTTGAACAGGAAAAAGGGACTCGTTTCCAAAAAGTCTGTAGTCAACTGAGATCCTTCTGAGACTGGAAACCAGAGTCCTCCACTGGGTGGGTTGTTCCAGGATCTCTTTGTGCAGTCTTGTTTGTAAAGGACACCCAGCAGATTGACGTGGCTATTTGCATTCTCATTAGGTCTTGTCTTGAAAGATAAGATCCCAAAGGTGACTTTGGATAAGAGTAAGTGTGATAACTTTGGTAGAAACGATTGCATTCTTTAGCAAGAGGGTTTCCTTGTCCAGGCCTCAGCCTCCCAAATGCTGGGATTAGAGGTGTGCTTTCCCCTGGGTTCTTTGGCATTACAGATGCTGATGTTAAAATGGCTACACAAGGGACCTCATCCATTAAAATAATTTTGTTGTGCCTTCAAATTCTTAGGTTAGAGTTAACACCAATGCAAAGCCAAGGCAGGGAGGGATGAGATCATAAAGGGTGATGGCGGGCTGGGGGACCAGTGTTCTTGTGTAAGTGAATTGTAATTATCACTTTCCAGTGATCTTGACGCCAGGGCAAAGAGTGAGAGGTACCGTGCCCTTTTCCGGCTGCCCAAAGATGAAAAATTAGATGGTCACACTGACTGCACCCTCTGGACTCCATTTAACAAAATGCACATTTTGGGGCAGATGTTTGTCTCCACAAACTACATCTGCTTCACCAGCAAGGAGGAAAACCTTTGCAGCCTTATAATCCCGCTCCGTGAGGTAAGTATCAAGTTCTGTTTATAATACTTTTCTATGTGAATCAGGAGTTTTGTTTTTGTTTGATGGTTTTGTTTTAACTAGCAAACTGGTTGACTTTTAACTATCAGTGAATGTTCGTAATGCATTGGTGGCACTTATCATCCTTTCATTTGTTGTCACAGTTGTGACTTGTGGGATCTCATCTTTCAGAAGTAGCCTGATTTTTCAAAAGAAGCTTTTGTGCTTATGAGGTGGTGAAGCATACAGATCAGGGGATGACTGCTATGGAAAGATAGCTTGTTGTGGTCACAGTACCTAAGAGGAGAGGCCATCCAAATGGCTCAGAAAGCACCAGGGTTACTCAGGAGAAGGAAGAGCAAGGAAAAATGAGGACAACACCCTTTACTGTGGTTTCTGAGGGAAATCGCAGTCTTAGGATTGGCTGGTTCACACAGTTTTGTAGATGTGAACTTTGAGGCTCGTGGCTATCCGTGGTTGTCTGGTTCCTGGCCCTGGCATGACTAGTGCAGGGAAATGATGGCCCTGAGTGTGAACATGATAAAGAAGGTGGTTGGGTGTGGGCTCTGGGTTGGCTGGATTACTGATGAAAGCAGTGTTCTAGGAATCGGTAGCCCTGGGAGGGGCTGTTTGTCCAAGGTCACTAAGGCCCCAAAATATTAAAGCATTGGAACAGAAACTAGAAAACATGGTTTACGCCTGGCTCACAGCCTGAGGACAGCTTGGCCCAAGGGTGCTACTCTGAGTCCTGAGTTAGACAGCCAAGTGTTCATTTGGGCCTGTTGTGCTGATTGCTGCAGTGGAACGACCAGGCTGTGTGCTCAGGGCCAGCTTCTAAGCCCATCCCAGACCCCGTGAAGACTAGTCTGCAAGTAAAAGTCTAAGAAATAACTGAGAATATATCTTAAATTATTCCTCAATCATTAAATATTCTCTCACAATGTAATTTTTGATGATTGCATATTATTCAGTTACATGTATATATGTAATTTCTTCATTTGCCTATGATTAGGCCTTTCATCGTTTCCAGTTTTTCCCAGTTATAGGCACAATTTCCTTAAGTTACAAATTCCTAGATGCTGAATTGGCGGGTCAAAAATGAATCCAAAATCCAGGTACTGGTGGCTCACACCTGTAATCCTAGCTACTCAGGAGGCACAGATCAGGAGAATTGTGGTTCAAAGCCAGTCTGGACAAATAGTTCTGTGAGACCCTATCTCAAAAAACCCTTCACAAAGATAGGGCTGGTGGAGTGGCTCAAGGTGTAGGCCCTGAGTTCAAGCCCCAGTACCACAAAAAACCATGCAAAATATTGAATAATTAACAAATTCAATTCTCCTTATTTGTTATAGAGTCAGCTAACTGGTGTTATAACATATTTTGAGAGCACGATAATTTGTTGGTGATGAATTCTGAGGGGGGTTAGATCATTTGTATTTATGTTTGGTTGTAAAAATGGACTTTATAACATTTTCCTGCAATTTTTTTTTTCCTGATGAGACTTGGGTTGAACTCAGGGCTTCCCACTTGCAAAGCAGGCATTCTACCACTTAAGCCACATCTCCAGTCCATTTTGCTCTGATTATTTTGGAGATGGGATCTTGTAAACTATTTGCCCGGGGTGACTTCAAGTTGCAATTTTCCAGATCTCAGTCTCCCAAGTAGTGAGGATGACAGGCATGAGCCACCAGCACCAAATTTACCTTCTTAGAAGTCTTTGCCATAACCTGTTACTGAATGTAATTTTCTTCTCCTTGTTCTAAATGTAATTTTCTTCATCAAATAGTACCTGAATAGGTAAAGCAGAGTTACCTGGAATAGCTAGGGAAACGCACTCTGGGACTTAGGCTAAACCACTGATTAATCTGAGCAAGTCATCACTGTTTTCCAAAGGAGCAGAGCAGGTCTAGAAGCTGCTGTCCAGATATCTGCCCTCTTTGTGGTCACCACCCTGGGTCTCTGGTCCAGCCAGCTCTGTGTCCATTTTGGTGCCACTGAGAGCACAACAGTGAGAGCTCAGGGGCTTGAGAGGAAGGTGATGATATCCTCAGCCCTAGTAGGGCAGAGGCCATTTGGTCACATTTCAGAGTAAATCAGAGGGAAAGCCAGTCTGTGGAGGCCATGTTTAGAAATAAAGCATGCTGTGGTCAGAGGATGAAGCTTTAAAGTGACAGTCACTGAGACAGCAGAGCGGTCCTCTTGGCCTGATGAATTACTGAGGTACATTAATGGGGGAGTCCCTAGTCCCAACTAATGAGCGAGGCAGAGGACTTGGTGTGAGTTGTATTACCTTTAGATAATGGTCATGTCAGGAAAACGAGGGCCTGGGACCCCCACCATCCTCCAGAGTCTGTTTGAGCGGAACAGTTCTCACTGTGACCCTCGGCACCTTGCCAGGCTGAGTGAAGCCTAGGCGCCTCTGTGAAATGTTGCATCCTAGTTGGTATGGCTGTTTTCCAGAATTGTGCAGGCCAGGGATTGCTTTATTATTTTTAGTAAATAAGTTGAAATATTGATGGAAGATTGTTAATTCTACATATTGGTTTAACATAGACCAAATGGTCACATGTTGAATATTTACACAGAATCCTATTGCTGTGGGTTTTAAAGAAATAACTGGGGTGGAGAAGCAGGAAGCTGAGCAGTTGATGAGCATTCTCATTAGTCAGAGATTCCAGATGAAGTACCCCCCCCAATTAATTACTTCCAAAACGCTCACTATCAACTGAGACTTGACAAAATTCCAGTCTGTTTTATGAGCCAAGTTGGAAGTGAAATGTGTCTCAATACATTGTAGAAAACTCTGATGTGGCTGTCCTCCTTTCCTGATGCACAAAGCTTATGGCATAGAATTTTACTAAAACTCATTTGTCAGTGAAAAATATTTTATAACTCATGTGAATGTCCAGATGTTTTATGTGGGAGATTTCCTCTTCCTGGGTTCATGGTCCATTTGACTTTCCTAAACCCTATATACTACTAGCCTGTGTCTTAGATACAAAATTACAGCCTTCTGGCATCTTCCATTTAGTCCCAGACACCTGATAACCAAAAGAACCAGCAAAAATTTGATAGCAGAATAGAAGCTTTTATCTGGGCATGGAGGCTCACATTTGTAATCCTAGCTACTTGGGAGATGGAGATGGGGAGGATCACACACAGTTCAAGGCCAACCCGGGCACATAGTGAGACCCCATCTCAACCAATGAAAAGCTGGGCATGGTGTCACATACCTGTTATCCCAGTACATGGGAAGTGCAAGGATGAGGACCATGGTCCAGGCCAGCCTGGTCATAAAAGCAAGACCCCATTCAAAAAATAACTAAAGAGAAGAAAAGAAGAAGAACTAAAGCAAAATGAACTGGGGCATGACTCAAATGGTAGAGCATCTGCTTAGAAAGTGTAAGACCCTGAATTCAAAAGCCAGTACTACCAAAAAAAGGACAAAGAAGAAGCTTTTTAAACATTTTTAAAATAAGCATTGTTTAGCACATGTGAAGTATCACGGGAAAATCCTTTTCATGAAAAGAGGTTATTTTTTTTCACTTTGTAGCATTTTGTTTTTGCATTATGTTCACGTTCAAGTGTCTCAAGGGTTACTTTAAAAGTAGGAATATTTATATGTAAAGTACACATATAACTATGTATTCACATATATACATATTTCATATCCGGTACATGGCACTTGAGGCCATGAAACTTTTTAGATAGCTTCAATAAGCTTCTGAGCCTGGAGTAGGGGAGAAAGTTTTTAAGTTCTGCGCACAACAGTGAGATGTGCAGATTAAAGTTGGCCCTGCCGAGACTGCTTGCAGATAGAAATGAAGAGAGGGAAAGAAACTAAGCTTTGGGAAACCGGCAGAGTTGTTTCAAAGAAACCATGTAATGTGTGCCATGGGATCGTTTTTCCTAAAGTGTTAAAGAAAGTAGTTTCAACACTTCCACTGATGAAAGTCCTGTTAAAAGCCACCAATCTGTCTTCAGTTCAGAGCTAAGACAGACATTTCTCCTTCCTTCTTTTCTCCCACTGTAGTAGACAGACTTCAGTGGACGCGCATGCAACACACACACACACACACACACACCCTGCTAGTGCAGATAGGGCTGCAATTAAGCTGTTTACATCACGTCTGCTCAGGGATAGATCCTTGCAAACTTTGAATGTAAAGCCCTGGAGTCTAAATGAGATGCTTGATGGATGGGTGGTGTTTTAAAATCTGTCTAAAAAAGGAACCAGTATCTTGAATTATTTTCTGTGCCTTATGGATGATGTAGCAGCTAGGAGCCCTCTCTCGCATGGCTCCATGAGAGTTTAATGAAAAACAAAGAAGTACTTTATAGCAAAGTTTCTCTGTCTTCGTACTGTTGACATTTGGGGGCCAGACTTATTGCAGGGCAGCTGTTCCACTTATGACAACCCAAAATGCCCCTCATGTTGCAAAATGTCTTCTGGGGTAGTAGTGGGGGCAAAATCACCTCCAGTTTAGAACCAGCAGTTCTAGAAAGACCAGCTTAGAAAGCAGCAAGGTAATTCCAGTTTTGGGTATAAACTCCAGCTTGATTTGCTGTGAGCACTTTTATTTTATTGGGACAGAGTCAAGGACCAGTTTGCCTCAGTAAACGAGGGGTCATTCCTGCAGAGCAGTCAATGTGCTGTGTCCTTCCTCCATGTTGCTTGGAGGCTGCCCTTGACTGGCTCTTGATCCATATGCTGACTGCCTCATGTTTCTTCAGGTGACCATCGTAGAGAAGGCTGACAGTTCCAGTGTGCTCCCAAGCCCTCTGTCCATCAGCACGAGAAACAGGATGACCTTCCTATTTGCCAATTTGAAAGACAGAGACTTTCTAGTGCAGAGGATCTCCGATTTCCTGCAGCAGACGACTTCTAAAATATACTCAGACAAAGAGTTCGCAGGAAGCTACAACAGTTCAGATGATGAGGTGCGTGCAAGACACCCGGAGGTGGTGGGGATTGTCTTACACTCTGCCAGAGAGTGTTCACAGCCTGGTCTGTTTTGGTTGATCATCCAGCTTTGTAGCTAGGCTAGGATAAAACACTACCTTTAGTTCTCAAGGAGTTTGTATTTGGGATCACAGAGCTGAAAGAACCTTTGAGATCATCTGGTCTGAGCCTCTTTTACAGTTGAGGATATTATTTAAATGACTTGCTCTGATTACACAGCAAGTGACTCCTGTCCAAATAGTGACATTGTTGGGAACGGTATAGAAGTCACTAAATAAAATCTCTCAGATCTGAAACACAGCTTCATGATGATGACTTTTTCAATGATGACATCAGGTTTCCATTGAATTAGGCCTTGGACTAACATTCAGGGAAATGGAAGCACTGAGAAAATTGGTGACTAGCTGGAGTGATAGAGCAAGTTTATTCTTAGGTATAACCTAAAATGAGTTTAAAGATGGTAAGATCATATATAACATCTGGGTCTCTGACTGCCCGGCCCATTTATATGGACATTTTTGAGGCAGCAGAAACTAGAGAAGAAATTTGTCAGTCCCATGAGCTCCTGATTGATCAGTGGCATTTTTGCATATAGCAAATCAGAGCAACAAACAGCCAACTACTTTGTTGCAAACATGCATCTAAAATACAAAGTAGGCCTACTTTGAACACTGAAATGCTGTATCCTGTAAGCCATGCAGCTGTCTAATCCCTGCCCAAGTGTCAACTAGCTGTGTTTCTCCTGGTTCTTCAGCAGAAACATCTAGGCAAACATAAGGTTTTATCGCCACCTAAACAGACAGCACTAGAGCTGTAGGCTTCAGTGCCCACCTCCTCCCAACGTCTTGCTCCTCTGTGCACCCGCAGGTGTACTCTCGGCCCAGCAGCCTTGTTTCCTCCAGTCCCCAGAGAAGCACCAGCTCTGATGCTGAGGGTGAGCGCCAGTTTAACCTCAATAGCAACAGTGTCCCCACAGCCACACAGACCCTGATGACCATGTACCGGCAGCGGTCTCCCGAGGAATTCAACCCGAAATTGGTGGGTGCCTCTTGCTGTTTCCCTAAACTTGCCATATTAGAACAATACCATTAAAATGTTTCCATATATGTAAACTCATAAAGGTCTATATGAATGGACATAAATGTCTATAAAAGTCTCAAATGGAGAGTTTTCCTTAAAAATGGAGCCAATCTTTATCTAAATATGTCATTAGGTTTCAGAGTGGCTTTATGGAAGGGGGCAAGAGTTATAGAAGGTAAGGGTGACTGTTTTGTTTTTAACTATTGGAAAAGTCAACCAACAAATAAGTACACAATTTCTCAGCTCATGTTTAAAAAACATTTCACTTTCACTTGCATTCTACTGCCCCTTGTCAGGTAAGTAGAATTCTGACTTAGCTTCCTTGCAGAACCACAGGCTATGATAAATGTGTGAAGTTGAGAAAGAACTTCAGAAAATCTGAGTTCTCCGTTCTCATGAATTCTGTCCAGAACTTGACTGCTCCATTCACCAGGGAAGATGTGACCTTCCATCACAATTCTCTTTATCTTCTTCAGAGTACTTTGGAATGTAGTCAGGTTTCATTATGTCTTTTAGGCCAAGGAGTTTTTGAAAGAGCAAGCTTGGAAGATTCACTTTGCTGAGTATGGACAAGGCATCTGCATGTACCGCACGGAGAAAACGCGGGAGCTGGTGCTGAAGGGCATCCCCGAGAGCATGCGTGGGGAGCTCTGGTTACTGCTCTCAGGTACCCGGATCCGAGCTCTCATGTGGGGGTCTGTTTCCCAGCATCTTTCAATGAGCGGTCCCCGAGTCACAGCTAAAGCACAGATCCCAGCATCTTTCAAATGAGCGGGTCCCCGAGTCACAGCTAAAGCACAGATCCCAGCATCTTTCAATGAGCGGTCCCCGAGTCACAGCTAAAGCACAGATCCGAGCATCTTTCAATGAGCGGGTCCCCAAGTCATAGCTAAAGCACATTTCCTCACTTAAGTAGTGCAGCGTGTCAGTTACTCTGTAGGGACCACAGTAAGCAGTTTAATGTTGACAACACCAAGAAATGGTCTCTTCCATTTCTTAAATGAGGCTATTTGAGGAAAAACAGAACCAGAAGTAAGGGAGTGCAGTACTTTGTGATCTGGGGAGTTCGTGTTTCCTGGCTATGACGACTTCATTGAGAGTGGTTAAGTGGCCCATAGGGCCCTCGTTGGATTGGGGAGGTGGGAGAAAATGAGGAATAGAAAGCCTCCTCCTCCTTGACTGTCCTTCCTCCTTAAGTCTTTGGTCATCACTGGAGCTGCAGAGGTGGCTCCCTATATTCTATCTTGAGTGGTAAGCAGTTCTACCAATCTTCAGGGGATACTTTTCAAGACTCCTTGGGGGTGGATGCTTGAATCCACCATAGTACCTCACCCTATATGTGCCAGGTTTTTTCTTATACATACATAATATATTCTAATGATGAAGTTTAACGTAAAGATGTGGCACAGTAAGATTAACAAATAAAAACTAATAAAACAATTTTAGCAATATACTATAATGAAAGTTATTTAAAACTTATGAATTATTTATTTCTGCCATGTTTCCCAGGGGTCTTCCTGTCCAACACCAGAATATAACTTTGGGTAAATCAGTTGTTAAATCCAGATTGGAGGCTTAGAAGGCAAAATCATGCTAAACAGACTTACGTGAATATTTTTACTTGAGTCTGAGATGGTCTAACACAAGTACCATTATTAAATTCCTTTACTGAAAAATGACATTAAACTGAAAAAAGTAGTTACCAGATTTACAGAAAAGCCTTTAAAAACCTTTAGCTCTTTCTAAAAGTATATAAAAATGGTCAAGTTGCCCATAATAAGATATACAAACATCTCAGAAGTATGAGGATTGAGTCCTGAAAAATAACTGATTGTATCTATTTTGTGTAAACCTGGTTTGTTCTAGTCTCGTTTACTTGTCTTCTTTTTTTTTTTTTTTCATTTTCCTGAAGTAAGCCAGCCACAGCACCTCATTTAGAAGCCCAAACTCGAGTCAAATTTTCTCTAATTACAGATCAAGTTGATCAGTACTATACAGTCTTCTTTTGTCTTCTGTGTGTTCTGGTGAACTGGTCACCTTGACAACCAGCTTGCAATCATTGGCGGTAATGAAAAAGTTCATTTCCTACTCCTCATTCAAATTAGAAGTTATTTATAGTCCCATTCTAGATGAAAATGAAACTCCGAAGGAGCACCAGGAAATTAGCGCACGACAGCCCTACACAGTGCTGTTGCAGAGGTAGATACTTGTAGGGTGATACCCCATGTTTCCTGTGCCATTGCAGGGTGACATGTCTGCACATTGACCTCTGTTGGGTGGATACCTGAGCCCATATTTCCACACACTGGGGTGGGATTCATGTAGAAGCCAGCTTGTCCCCCAGCTCCTGCTTGGGGAACCCATCCTGAGACTCACCCACTTCCCATGACCTGGAAGGCCACTGCCCAGCACCTGGACTCAGTGGCCCACTGAAGTGACGTGCCATAGGTCCCCTTGAGAACAGCCAAAGTCGATGTTCTGATGCTGTGCACCACGCCGCCTTTCCCTAGGCAGGGTTGACTGGTCGCCTGGCTCTCAGTCATCATCAGTGTCAAGGATGAACCAGCCCAGTGGGTCAGGGATTATGGCTTCCAAGCTGTGAATGTTTTCCCTGTCATTCTACACATAATTTTTTGTTTTTTCTTTTTTCATGTGAAAGCTTTATTAGGATTTAACTCACAATTTACTAAAGTGTACAGTTCAATGATTTTTAGTATATTCACAGACTTGCATAGTGATCAGCACAATTAATTTTAGAACATTGTCATTGTCATTGTCCCCCCACAGAAAAAAACATTCTATACCTTTTACCAGTCATTCTCCATTTCTCTCAAGACCCCTCCCATCCCCATGGCAGCTACTAATATACTTTCTTTATAGATTTATCTACCCTGAATGAATATGTCATATAAATAGACTCATACAATGTGTAATTTTTGTAACTGAGTTCTTTCACTTAGGTTTTGTTTTTGTTTTTGTTTTGCAGTTCTGGGGATTGAACCTAGGGCCTTACACATGCTAGGCAAGCACTCTACACAAAGCTCTATCCCCAGACCTTGGACTTTTGAGGCAGTCTTGCTGTGTAGCACAAGCTGGCTTTGAACTCATGGTGTACCCCAACTGACCTTGAACTCATGATCCTCCTGCCTCTGCCTAAGTTCTAGCATTACAGTTATGCAACACTATGCCTGGCTTAAAATAACATTTTCAAAGTTCAACCACATTGTAGGATATATCATTTCATTCCTTGTTTTATAGTGAAATTTACCCTGGTAGACATGTGCTACACTTTCTTTATCCATTTATCAATGGATGAGCATTTAGTTAGTTGGTTATTACAAATATTACTGCTGTGAGCATTCATGTACAAGCATTTGCGTGGGTACACACTTTCATTTCTCCAGAGTATGGAGCTGGAAGTGGAATTTCTCTGTTTAACTTTTTAAGCAACTGGTGGGATGTTTTCCTAAGCAGCTGCACCTTTTCACATTCCCATCAGCAAAGAAGGAGGGTTCTGATTTCTCCATATCATCCCCAACACTTGTTACTATCTTTTTATTACAGTTATCTTAGTCATAGGAAGTAACTTCTCATTGTGGTCTTGATTGAATTTCCTTGATGGCTCATGAAGGTTTTAGTTTGCTTCTTAGCCATTCATTTATCTTCTTTGCCCACTTTTAATTAGGTTGTCTTTTAATGACAGAGTGTAAAGAGTTATTTATTTACTTATTTATTTTGGTGGGACTGGAGTTTGAACTCAGGGCCTCACGCTTGCTAGGCAGGTGCTCTACCACTTGAGCCACTCCATCAGCACTTTTTGGTGTTGGGTATTTTGGAGATAGTGTCTCTTCAATTATTTGCCCAGTATGACTTCAAACTGGGATCCTCCTAATCTCTGCCTTCTGAACAGCTAGGAATACAGACATGAGCCTGGCTTAAGAGTTCAATTACAGAGTGTAAGAGTTTTAAATATATATTTACATGTAAGCCCATTATCAAATTTTCCCGATCTATGAATCACCTTTTCATATCTAGGTGGTGTACTTTGATGCACAATTTTTTTCTGTTGAATTTGCCACTGTGCTTTCATGTCTGTCTGTTATCGTTGTTTGGGTTTTTTGGATTTTTTGTTTTTTGCTATTGAGTTATATGAATTCCTTATTTTTTTACTTTTTGGATACTTACTCTTTATCAGATACATGGTTTGAAGATATTTTCTTCCATGCTATTGGCTGCTTTTCCACTCTATTAATTGTTTCCTTTGTTGTGCAAAGCTTTGAAATTTTATATACTCTTACTTACCTATTTTTACTTTTCCTGCCTTTGCCTTGTGTATGATTGGCTTAAGAGCCCTTTTGCTGTTTTCTTCTAGTAGTTTTTGGTTTCAGGTCTTATCTTTAAGTGTTTTTGGTGTTGGTATATGGTGTGAGGTATGGGCTCATGTGAATTCAATTTTCTTAGTAGCAATATAGATTTGTATTTAGATTTAGCTTTAGATATCTGCCTATTTGGTTTTTCTGTCTTCAAGAGTCTTAACACAAATATCTCATGTGAGCATTCTCAGCCCAGCTCTCCACTCCCATTCCTGCCATCTGAATCTCCCATCAGTAACATGGCTCACTGTTACCAGGAATACCCTGTCCACTGCCTGCAACTTTAAAATTCCTCCAGTCCTACATCCTCCTCCTACCCATCCATGTGGCTACTTAAGTCCGTCACAGCTAACCCTTTAGCAAATAGCTTCAAACTTACTTTGAAAGGCATCCTTCTTTACAAGTGAAATCTTAACAAAAGCCCAGTAAAATAAAAGCAAAGCTGCTGTGGTTGAGGGAGGGAGAAGAGGGGGGAAGACAAAGCTGGCTTTCTCTGATTGCCAACCCCTGTACTCCTAAGAAGACCCTCAGAACTGTCTGTAGAAGCTGCTTGGAGCACTGTTTTGTAGCCTGGAAATGCTCGGAGAATTTTTTAAATCCTTGTTATGAAGCAGGAACAGGAAAGCAGGCCACAGGAAAATGAACCAGTTTAGGTGTCATTGAAACATACCACATCTGTATGGATTTGATTTTATTTTACAAATTTCCTCCAAGTGAAAGGGGAGTGAGGAGGTTCAGCAGACAGGCTGGCCCATAACTTTCCATCCTCCTTCCTCAGGTATGCACCACCATGCCTGGCCACTCCCCCTCTCCTTTTTAAATTTTGTATCTGTTGTGTGTTTCCCAGGTGCCATCAATGAAAAGGCCACACATCCTGGGTACTATGAGGATCTGGTGGAGAAGTCCATGGGGAAGTACAATCTTGCCACTGAAGAGATTGAGAGGGACTTACACCGCTCCCTTCCAGAGCACCCAGCTTTCCAGAATGAAATGGGCATTGCTGCTCTGAGGAGAGTCTTAACAGCCTACGCTTTTCGGAATCCCAACATAGGGTATTGCCAGGTGAATGTCACAGAGAGTTCATACTTTCAGAAATTAGTTTTTTGTTTCAGTAGCCAGTCAGTGTTGTAAAGGAAAGCTTTATGGTTAATGGATCTATTGCAGAACCAGGATGTGTCAACCATGGCCCTATCATTGTGGAGTGGGTAATTCTTTGTGGGGACATTGTTCAATGCTTTGTAGGATATTGGTAACATTCCTGACCCCATCTGCTTGACGCCAGTGAGAGCCCTACCTGCAATGATCAAAATTACCTATAGACATTACCAAATCTCCCTGGAGGAGCAAAGTCACCCTGAGTCAAGAACGACTACACTGAGAAAGAAGTCAGAAGACATGGTATCCTTCCTGGCCAGCCACTGTCTAGCTGGGTGACCTGCGAAATGTCCTTCTGACCATTCCTGGTCTTCCCCTCATCCCACCTTGGAGGCACAGGTTGCATGTCAGCACAGGGCTTTCCCTGGGGATGGGCACATCCTCTCAAGCAATAATGTCCTTGGAACACAGCTTTCCTGTGCTAGGGTTACATTTTAATACACAGTAAAATAAATGTCTAACTCAGCATAACACAAAAATGTTGCCAGCGTGCCAACTAAAATCACCTAGGGACAATTTGGGAAACTCCAAGAGTCAAAGACCACATCATCAGAGAGGCCTTCTTTGACCATCCTGATAAAAAGTGAAAAAGGCTTAACTCCTGCCCCTACACACACACACACACACACACACCTGTCTCACTGTACCCCATTATTTGTCTTCTCAATCAGACTTAATTTAAATATGCCTCCAAACTGATTAATTAAACTTTGTAGCTTTGGCTTTTTTCTCATACAGCTGTATTTTAGCTGTATGAGACTTGTTACTGGAATGTCTCATGTCTCCCTGTCCCTCACTTCCTAGTCCAGAACCTTGAAAAACCAATTTGGCCTAGGAACTGACTGTAACCGTGATCATGGACTAGAAACAGCAGGTTAATTCTCAAGTGGAATTTTCATAATGATTTCACTTTTAAGAGAGTAATAAGACTTGCAAGAAAGAGCCTATTAGGCCAAAATACCTTTTATATTGTAGAAGCCTGAGGAACAATTTCTGGAATCTGGAAGATCAAAGGAAGTACATTAGTTACTTGGCTTCTACTATAACAGAATTCATATTTACCTTTTGATCTTCCTTTTCTAATTAAGGGGACTATTAACATATTTGAGCTGCTGAGTGGTTATGAGTTGCCTGATAGTATCTTTTAATAAAGTAAGGTTACTTTAGAATTTAATCACTGTTACTTATCATGACCATCTTTTTACCCAGATAGAAGTAATGGGCCAGGCCTCCAACTTTGAAAGGCTTCATTGTTCTCTGAGGAGAACCTGTCTACTTGTAATAGAAGCCATTTTGGAAGGTTAAAAGGAAATATTTACCTTACTGAGTTAAAGATTAAGAATACTGAGAGGTTTTAGCAAGTTGAAAGCTCTGCCAAACAGCCTTTGGGCAAAATTTTTGGAATAAGGATTTGCCTGTACACGTGTAGGGTTCAGTTAGATGAACAGTGGTGCTAATAAAGACTTAGCAATCACTGGCTCAAAGACTACTTGCTTTTACATTTTAAAGGATCATAAAGCAAAACTCAGAAGATTGATAGTGCTGGAGGCTATAAAAATAACTCAGCAGTTTTTTAGGTTAAAAATGTGTTTATACTTTAAAGTGTGTTTGATGTATTTGATGACATCCTCTTTCATCCATTAGGCCATGAATATTGTCACTTCAGTGCTGCTTCTTTACGCCAAAGAGGAAGAAGCTTTCTGGCTGCTCGTGGCCTTGTGTGAACGTATGCTTCCGGATTACTACAACACCAGAGTGGTCGGTATGTGGGCATGTGGCTCTCATCTGAACTCGTATCTCATCGGCAAGATGATTTTAGCTTGGAACCAGCTCAAACACCATGTCCAGACTCCCATTAGCGACAAAGGAGCAGGCTGCTCATTTTTCAAGATGGAAATGCCAGAGCTTGAATAAATATAGCTGTAAAGAAGGTGACCTGTGAAATGTGGAGATGTAGTTGATTCTTGCTCTTTGTGATAGTTTTATTCTATAAGGGCAATTTAAGAACATTAAAAAAGAGCCTCATGGAGTCTAACAGAATCCACAGGTATCATTGCTACAGAAATTGTTCTAGAAAACACTTGATGTGTGGGTCACTTTGTAACATGTAAGAGCTACACCAAATACACCAACCATTAACAAAGACAGGAGGGGTGAATTCAACTATGATGTATTTGCTATACTGTAAGAACCTTTGTAAATGCCACAATGTACCTCCAGCATGATAAAAAAAATTAAGAACTTAAAAAAAAAAACATAAAGAGGCCTGACCAAAAAAACCAAAATTACTTAATAAAGAGGATCAAACCTATGGAAAGCAGAAATATCCAAGGTGGCATTGTTTGGAGGGAGAAAATAGCATATAAAGGTTTATCCAATGCTATGTTTATGAGGCATATTTCAGAAGGTTTCATTATAAAGCAAACAACCACCGAATTATTGCCATTACTTCTTGTAATCCCTTCTCAAGTATTAGACATTCATTTTATCAGGACAAATTTTTCCTTGTGGTATGCCTGCTCTATGCTTCCCTCTTGTGTTCTATCATATTTGTAAACTTTTAGGAACAAATCTACTTCATTGAAAATATTCTCCAACAATGTCATTTAGTTGATTATGAATGTATACAGGTGGAATTCTTTTAAGTTTGCCAAAGAAGCTGCTTACAGGTATTTCTGGAGCTACATAGGAGTATATTTCATGCATCACCAACAAAATGAGTGTATGTCATGCAATCTTTGTAAACTGGGTTTTCCAACAGTCTTTATTCTTGTCATGTTACTGCTCCTGTATGGTAGAAAAATGGGACAGGAAGACCCCCAGAAGGAGAAGAGGCTGTCAGAGCTAAGCTGGTACCTAAGCTATGTGGATACCTTGGTCATTCGTATTCGGTAGTGGTGGACAGTGGCAGAAAGGGACTAGATTATGAACGGGATTATTACAGTCAAGCCATGTGCTTGGGCTGTTCAGGAAGAAGAGGTAGGGCTAACCGATGTCCTTCTGTGTCACGCCCTCACAGGTGCACTGGTGGACCAAGGTGTCTTTGAAGAGCTTGCACGCGACTATGTCCCACAGCTGTACGACTGCATGCAGGACTTGGGTGTGATCTCCACCATTTCCCTGTCCTGGTTCCTCACACTGTTTCTTAGCGTGATGCCTTTTGAGAGTGCAGTGGTGGTCGTGGATTGTTTCTTCTATGAAGGAATCAAAGTGATATTCCAGTTGGCCCTGGCTGTGCTGGATGCAAATGTGGACAAACTGTTGAACTGCAAGGATGACGGAGAGGCCATGACTGTTTTGGGAAGGTACAGTGCTAAATCCAGCTTGGAAAACCGCCTGCGGGTCTCTTCCCCTGGTTCTTTCTCCATCATTTCATGAGTCCCCGTTGACTTGATGGCAGTCATGATGTCCCCATCTGTCTGTGACTGAGGATTTATGTTCATATGCTTTTTCTTTCTGATCTTAAGGAAGTGCTAGTTTTGTTTTCAAATGCGGAGTTTGCAGGAAATGAGTAAGAACTATAATGGGTGAATTCTTGATTAGTCTCCAGTGACTGCTGACGTCTTCCCGTAGGTACTTAGACAGTGTGACCAACAAAGACAGCACACTGCCTCCTATCCCTCACCTGCACTCCCTGCTCAGTGACGATGTGGAGCCCTATCCAGCGGTGGACATTTTCGGACTCATCGGAACTTCCTACGAGGTAGGCTTTGCCCCCTCAGGGTGTTAACCGTGCCCTGAGGTTGCCAGGAGCACCCAGCTGGACATGTGTCCCACACTGACCATCTTGTGCTGCTGTCACAGAATACCACAGATTAGGCAATCTATAAAGAACAGGAATTAGTTTCTCACACTTCTAGAGGCTGGGAAGGTCAAGGTCAAGGTGCTGGCTGATTGAGGCCCTGGCTCTGTACTTCTAAAATGGTGCCTTGAACACTGTCCTCCAGAAGGGAGGAAGACCATGTCTTCACATAGCAGAGGAACAGAAAAGAGAACCCACTCCTGCATGCCCTTTTAATAGCAGCATTAATTCATAAAGTCAGAGTCCTCCTGACCTAAAGACCTCCCATAAGGCCCCACCTCTGGACACTGTTGTATTGGGAGTCAAGTTTTGGAGAGGACAAAAATATTCCAACCATAGTGCAACCCCTGGGTTTACCTGCTTCCTTTTACCTTGTGAGAACCAGTTGCCAGAGGTAGGCAGCTACCTGCTAGCTGAGAGTTTTGGTCTCCTGAAATAGACACCATATGCAGCCTAGGACATTCAGCAGGTCTAAGTCCTTGGTAGCAAATGGCACAATGAGATCTGACCCTTCACTTTGTTACACTTGCTCTCAAGCCTGATCTGGCAGCAGCTGGGCAGATTGGAGAAAGGCTGTAGGGAGCAGGTGTGGCGACCTTCACAGGTTGATTCATTCCCTGTTTCCACACTCAGTACTTAAGAATCTTCTGAAGTAGATAATCTGAGACCTATGAATGCCTTGTTACATACAGGCTAGCATGGACCCGAGTCCTGGGATTTCTGTGAAACTGCTTGACCTTGCTGAGGAGGTACCTGCTGGTCCGTGATACCCTTAACTCAGTTTGATCTACTGCTGAGTTCAGAACGAAGGAGCTTCTAGGGTGGAGAGACCATAGGACTGACTATGTGTCCCTGAGCTGCTGGAAGCTTGTGGGGTGCCAGGGATTCAGTGCCCGTGACACTTGCTTTCTTATTTCTTCATCCTTGGCTCTGTAAACTTCTATAGTAACAGTCATTAAGTGAGAGAAAGCACGAATGTTCTGCTGGGCACGCTGTGCTTTCTGTAGAAGCCTCGAGATTGTTAGTTTTCCAGCTAGCACCAAGCTGGAGATGAGAAATAAAGCAATAGGAAAGGTCAGGAAATCTCTTTTAAAGTCAAAGCTTAAAACCGGTGTGAATCTAGAAACCTCGTCAGAAATATGTATCTTTAACTCATTATGGGAGAAAGACTGATAATTATTTTTTAAATTTTCATTGACACTCCACACCCAGGTAGAAGGCATGATTTCAATAAACTGTGCATTAATATTGTGCATTAATGAGTTAACAAAATCTATTTAACAAGTCCCCTTTTGTTGGACATTTACTTTGCCTTCTTTTAATTTTTCAGCCTGATAATGGCATTCTATGATAACCTTGAACACAAATACCACATCTGACTATATTCTTAGAATCCTAGAAATTAATTTGCAGCAGTAGATAAAAAAATGTGATTTCCAAGCCTCTGGCCCTCACTGTACAATTTCCATAAAGATTTTCCCATTTATATTTCCACTATCAGAAATTAATAATGGTTGTTTCACTAGATATGGTAGCAAGCACATGTCTTTAATTCCAGGACTCTGGAGATGGAGGTAAAAGGATCGTGATTTTGAGGTCAGCCTGGACTACCAAGTGGGTTTCAGACCAGCCTGGACTATGTAGTAAGACCCTGTCTCAAAAAAAAACCAAACAACAACAAAAATGCTATTTCACTTCACTGTTTTCAATGCTGGTTATTATCCTAAAGCATTTTTAAAAATCATTGCCCCAGGACTTTTAGATAATGCTCTTATCAGAAATTTGGGATGACTTATTCTTTCAGAGAAAGATCGTGTAAGATTGTAGGCAATGGTTTGTGCTTGCGGATTGCATCCCCTCAGAACCTTTATTGTTACAAGACTCTGGATCAAAGTAATACTGCTTAGAGTATGGAAACTCAGCTTTACTCTTGACAGCACATAAGCTAGCAACACGCTGAGGTTGGCACTTTGCCCTTTTTTAATGGGAAAGAGACAACTGAGACAGGGCGGAAGGCTGGTTTCCATTTGCATCCTGCCTGGCTGATCCCTAATGGTACCCTGAGGCTGCCAAGCCTCCTACTGAAGGACCCAGGACAGCTTCCTTCCTCTGCTGGGGAAGGCAGCACTTCTGATTATATCACTGCCTGCCTTACCTGCTCTTTAACACATGATGGCTGGGTTTTTGTTGCCTCCTCTCTGCTTAATTGTCACTACCTGTTCATTTGCAGTGGCTCTCCAACACCTTATAGATGAGCTTAAAGAGAGCACCATAGATCCTTGCCCATCTTCTTCCCCCTTCTAACCATGAGACTAGTAGTTCTCCATCCTGCTTGTGCATTAAATCACTTTAAAACTTTTTAAATCAAGCTTTTTTTTAAAAAAATATACATCCCCAGGCTTCATTCCAGACCAATTAAATCTGGATCTCTGGAGAAAGCCCAAGAATAATTATTTTTAAGCTCCCCATGAGTTTCCAAGTAGGGGCTGCAATTCACTGCCCTAAGTGCAGAATGGGGTCACTGATCACTGAAGCCAATGTAACCTGGTTTGGACTAAGGCGTGACACCTGAGTGTTCTGAGGTACATAGCACAGCACTTTTCTTTTTGTTCTGCAGAATAATTAGTCATATAAATGAAAAGTAGGAAAGAAGTACTGAAAGCACATTCATCTTTTGAAATAGGGCCCAGGGCTCCCAGATTGGTCTGAAATTGATCCACCTGGTGAGATCATAACTTAACCCATAATGCCTCGTGGGTGAAATCTCACTTGCTATAAATCCTGCCAAGCCCTTATTGAAAGAGATTATGTGGATAGATGAGGTGTCATTTTTCTCTGTGTGGACCCTGTGAGTGAGGCTCTGTACTTTTGACAGTTATACAGAAGTAGAAGAAAAGTTCCAGCCTTAAAGTTTACCTTATAGGCTGACATGTCCTTCTGGAAGGCCCTTTGTAGGCCTTATAGCAGACAAACAGCCATCAGAGGTGATTTGTGTTCAAGGGACCTGGTCCAGTGAGAAGTGTTGAGTAGGGAAGATGTGGCTAATCACACACAGGCATAGTTTGTGCATATGGACAATAGGTATGAGTCCATGTGTCTGTCTTATTAATGATGACCATCATAGCAACCACTGCCTGCATTACTGGTAGAAGATAGGCTGGCCATGGCCAGAAATTTCAGTGTATTCTTTTGTTCTGATTATGAGAAAGAATGCCTGGGTCAAAGCTTAGCTCCATGAATTAGGCCTTTCAAAAATAAGGAGAAGGTAGAAAGAACTCGAAAAGCGTAGACTTTTGCTGTAATCCACAACCTAGGAAATATACAGGGAGCAGCACTGCTCTACAGCAGTGCTGTTTATAGAGTTACTACATAAAATACAGGACTGATGTTGACTAGGACATACTGATAATAAAGTTTATCTGTATTTCCTGTTTTTATTTCCTAAATCTGACAATGCTAGCCACTAATGGAGCCCTTAGTGTGTTGGGCAGCACATCAGACAGGCATAAAGCATTGGGAATGGAGTGGTCCTTCTAAACCAGAATCAGATGATATTACTCCTTTACTTAATTAGAATGTAAGCCAGTGGTTTTACATCCCATGTGGGGTAAAGTCCCTAGGCCTGCAGCTGTACAGGCACCCATATACACTGTATACACTTAAAAGTCCAACCTATATACACTTTTCTTTAGGTACAAGATGCTTAGGAATGCATCTGTTTCGTTGGTAGATATCGCTAGAAAGACTTCCAAAATGGCTGTGCCAGTTGACGCTCCAAGCAACAGTATAGGAGAGCTTGGATTGCACCTTACTCTTGCCAACACTTAGTATTGTCTCTCACTTTTCCTTTATCCTTAAATGCATTTATTCATTGCAGGCATTGTTTAGCATGTATCAGGCCTCATACTTGAAGTAGAATTTCTTTTTCTTTTGCATCACTAACAAACATAAAGCGTTACTTGTTCTTTCTCTACCATCAGATGGGAAATTTAGTTCCACAAACATGCAGGCAGTGCGAGGCATTTTGGAGTCTGAAGAGGTGCCAGGTCAGCACGTGCCTGCAGAGCACATGGCATAGGTTCCTGGCCCATATGGATGTCTACTGTTGAAGGAGCTGGGAGCCTCCTACCACTATTTCACCCAACCCTCTAGTCTATTATTAATTCATCTTTCCTTTCTCTTGTCAAGAACATTGTTTCTCTAAAGCATTTTGTCACTCAAAGCCTAATTTATGCCTTCTTCTTCTTGAGCTGTTGCCTTGAGAAAGACACGTTTGACTTTGAAATTTCATTCAGCCGAGAGATGCTTCAGAATTCCCAGGTTGTTTGTTTGTAGTCCCTAAGTGGCTTTAAGACCATAAATAAGAGTATAGTCTAGGTCACCTGTCATGTGACAAGTCTTTTATTCCATGAGTTAAGAATTTCAGCCACTCTGAAGACATGACAGTGCACTTTAGCAGGTTTTTTCAGAAATACCATTATGGCTCCTTTGCAGAAATTTGGAACTATCCGAGCAGATTTGATTGATCAGATGAGGTTCAAGCAGAGACTGAAAGTCATCCAGACACTGGAGGATACCACGAAACGCAACGTGGTAAGTCTTTGATGAGGAGCAGGAGACCTTTTCCATTCGTGATCCCTCTCCTGCTGGCTCATGAATCCCTGAATGACAGAACTGAAGGGGGCTTAGCCAAAAAAGATGAGGGGCTTTCCCAATATGGCATTCCTTGAGTTTGTGAAATTCACCATTCTTATTCCTTTCACAGGTACGAACCATTGTGACAGAAACTTCCTTCACCATTGATGAGCTGGAAGAACTTTATGCTCTCTTCAAGGTGAGTTTCAAAGCAAATCTCTGCCCACTCAAAGAGATGAAAGATGAAAGGGTTCACTTTAATAATTCCTTGAGTTCTTGATTTTTCTGTGAAGTTAAGAGGTACATGAGTCTCTGCATACATGACCAGGAAGACAGAGCTGGGCATTCAAAACTGTAGTACTTAGTATAAAAATAAGCAGATTCTTAAGACTAATTTAAGTTGCTATGTTAGCTTCCTTCTACTGCAGATAATATTGTAGCTCTTTTCTTGAGCCTAAGAAAATAGGTTATTGCTTTCTTAAAAATCAGGCTGAAATTCTTGTAACTTATAATTTTCTATATTAAGCTGTAAAGCACCCTTAGGAAAAGATAATATTAAGCTGTTTGAATGTCTCAGAAAAAGCATCATTGGTTACATTTCTGTGGTTTCCATTTTATAACTGAGCACCTAACAGTCTTGATCCCCAATAAGAAAATATGTTAGCAATAAAATCAGTGTATATTTTTCTTCTAAAAAATACTTTTTGCCATAACTATCATTAGCAACATGATCAGTTAAAATGTGACAATTGGCAGGGAAAGTATTTAAAAGATCCCTTTGATGTAAGTACCAATGTTATCACAATCTGAAATATACTGTCAGAAATAAACTTGACTGTTTTGAGCAATGCAGAGCTAGTACAGGAGAAGACAGAGGAAGAGGCACAGGGGTCAGGGTGGAACCCTGACAATTCTTACAGAGGGACAGCTTGGAGTAAATGTTCTTGCTGATGGGCCCACTTGCCTGGTAGCCACTAGAGGGCACCACTGCCTTACTCATTTGCGTTTTTCTAGTGCCTGGTAAAGTTCTCCCCCCAGTACATGTGCCAAAAGTGTGTATTCCATTAACAATTATCAATATACCTTGGCCCTCATATCCTTCTGATGAAGAACTGAGACCCAAAGACCAAGGTCCTCAAAGTTTCATGGCTTGTTAGCTTTGTACAGGGACACTGTTACCAACAGAGGGGATGACAGAAGTCCCAACCCAGCCTCCATTCAGCACCTGAGAGTGACATCTCCACCATGTGCCAGTTCAGTAATGTTTTATTCATACAAGTTAAACACCTGTAGTTAGCTGCTCGGTGTTGGTTGTTTATCCATAAAGAAGGGGCCCTCTGTTTCACAAAGGAAAATGGATGATCTGACCAAGGCCAGGTTTGGCAGGCGGGCTGAGGACCAGGGGAATCGGCTGTGCAGCGTGGTTGTGGGGTAAGACCAGGATCCTAGAGAACTAAAGAGAAGTGGGGGTTACTCTGGGGGTAGGCAAGAGAAAGGGCTGTGATAGTAGGAAGAGGAGGTGGACTTGGGGCACCTCAGAAGGAGGAACACAATGCTGTTTGTACAGAAGTCCCAGATCTGGAGAACCTCGAAGCTTCATCTTTCCTGGGCTTGGCTGCTTCTGCTCTGTGACCTCAGGTACCAGGTGTGACATTTGAACCCTGAGACCATGCCTAAAGAAGAAGGCAAGCGTTTCTTGTCCTCCAAGACCCTCCCTTAACGTGCATTGACAAACACAAGGGCCTGAGTCCTCAGAGCCCCAAAAGAGAACCAGAGACCCTTGGTTGGACTCTGGAATGGGAGGTGTCTCTGGTACTCTGAAATCCAAAATAAAAAAACATTAGTTAGGGGGCTAGTGGGGGCTCAAGTGGCAAGCAAGCATGAAGCCCTGAGTTCAAACCCCAGTACCACAAAAAAAAAAAAAAAGAAAAAACCTTGTTATGGATGCTTTCTTGAAACTTTGGAACATTTCAATTGGCTTCAGTTCATTTTTCACAAGCACATATTTAGTCATTGATGTATATCAGGCACTCTGCCAGGCTTTTTTTTTTCTCTTGTGGTGCTAGGGTTTGAACTCAGGGCCTACCCCTTAAGCCATTCCACCAGCCCTTTTTGTGATGGGTTTGGGTTTTTTTGGTTTTTGGTTTCTGATTTTTGTTTTTGAGATAGGATCTCACAAACTATTTGCCCTGGGCTGGCTTTGAACTGTGATCCTCCTGATTTCTGCCTCCTGAGTACCTAGGATTATAGGTGTGAGCCACTGGCGCCCAGCCCTGCCAGACGTTTTGGTCTTTAACAAAGCCAGTTTGTGGGAGTTCCCCTACAAATACAAAGGACTGATGGGGTCCCTCTCCCAAGAAGCTTGCTGCTTGGGCTTTGGGGGTGAAACTTGGGGGAAAATGGTATCAGACTGTACTGTGAGGCAGTTTGATAGAAAATGTGTCTCTGAGTTCCTTTATGGAGTTTGTCCTGGACTCTTTCCAAATTGGTCCTTCCATTTCACTATCTGCCCCCCAATGATGGGTTGTGGGGTTTCATGAGGGATAAAGGAGATGATCTGTGTGAACTGTTTTCTCTGGTGGTCATGAGCATCATGGAGGTGACCACAGCCAGGTCACCTGACTCAGAAGACTGCTTTGGAGGACTGTTACCAATTGATGTAGCTCAGGTAAAGGAGACTACATGTTTTGTCCACAGGGTTTTAGCCACACATGACAATTCAGAGTAGGCTTAACCAGCAGGCCACAGTAACCTGAACCTCCCCTCACACTGCTTCTGCCCTGTAGCCAGTAATACACCCAAGACGCTGAGAGACATTGTCACTGCCTTTCCTGGGCCAAGGCTGCATTGCAGGAAACCTTGTTGCTTCTCACCACCTCTCCTTCCTCCCTCCTCTCCTCTTTCTTATCTTATTGACAACCGTGTCCAGCAAACAATGATGACAGCTTTAGACATCGGTCTTCTTTGCTCCTTTTCTGAGTAAGAACAGAATTTCTGTGTCAAGCTCACAGCTGACACCCTTCTTTCTCAGAATCCCTAGGCCAAGGAGAAAGACCAGTTTTGAAGGATTTCTTTCTGCTGCCACATGGATACCTGCTTGTAGTGAAATGGTCAGATGGTGCAGCAGGAAAAGAAGTAAAAGTATAGAGTCCTCCTCGTCATGCTCCCCCAGTCTCCCTCACCTGCCACCCAGAGCTATTTGTAAATATCTGTGTGGGGCTGGCTGTCTTTCCAGACCTTTCTACCAATTGCTTTTTCTCTAGTCTTCCTAAAATGGGAGGATTCTTCTCCCTGAGTCCCATGACCTCCCAAAAAAAGATGCTGCCTTGTTTCCAAGGACAGGATCAGAAAGCTGTCTGCTGAACCTGGGTCTCTGTTCTCACCATAGTGGATCTGATGCTAGGGAATTTTCTAGAGCTATTTGTAGAGGTGTGAGCAGAGAGACCACACACTGTAGATTGACTATGGTGCGACTGGGGTAATACTGATGTGATCTGGGGCCATGGGAAGCACATCTTCCTCACTCTTTTTCAGGCTGAGCACCTAACCAGCTGCTACTGGGGTGGAAGCAGCAATGCTCTGGACCGCCATGACCCCAGCCTGCCATACCTGGAGCAGTATCGCATCGACTTTGAGCAGTTCAAGGGGATGTTTGTGCTTCTCTTTCCATGGGCGTGTGGCGCTCACTCCGACGTGCTGGCCTCCCGCTTGTTCCAGTTGTTAGATGAAAATGGGGACTCCTTGATTAACTTCCGGGAGTTTGTCTCTGGACTAAGTAAGGATGTGACAGGACTGCGTGAGTTAGGCTGGGGATGATGGGACACAGCCCCTGGACCTCACATTCCTGTGCTCCCCCGCAGGCTGGGTCTAGAGGGCAGATCAGTTTGTAAACTGATCACAAAATTTGCTTCTAGTTTCTGCCTGTGTTATATGGATAAGTCATTGCTTTCCACATGGAACAGCTGTCAACATGAGCTCAAAACAATCAGACAATACATATTTGCATATGACAATCAAAAAATGTCAGCATAAACCTCAAAGGATAGATTTAGCAGAGAAAGAAATGCCTGGGTGGTCAATTGCTTCTTTTGAAATTTTTTTTTTGTGGTGGTGGTACTGGGATTTGAACTCTGGGCCTCACCCTTGCTAGTCAGGTGCTCTACCACTTGAGCTACTCCACCAGTCCTTTTTGGATTGCTTCTTTTTGACAAAAAAAAAAAAAAAAATATATATATATATATAATATATATATATTCTATGTAATGTATAATTACATTCATGTAAAGCTTAATTATATATAATTTCTTAATATTTCTGAAGAACATTTCATAACATGTTTAATAACAGGCTGAAAACCCACAGAGACCAAACTGCACTTTGCTCTCCACTTCCTGGGATGCAGGACTGCACACGATGGCCACACACCACCCCCAGCACTCAGCAGCAATGGCTGGTAACAGCCTCACTGCCTCATTTGTCCCATCCTGTGTTCTTATTAGACTCTTGTTTCATTTGTAAGAGGAAAAAAAGACATCTGTAAGAGGCTTGGTCCCAGCCTCCTCCCCGCTTCCGTGAGGTTCTGGATGCAGCAAGCATCAGTCAGCCTGCCAGAAGGAAACAAGAAAGAATTCTTCTGTACTTTAATTGTGCCAATCTGTAACCTTGGACCCTATTTAACATGCTCAAGGAAAGGCAAAAAGTCAGGCACAGAACAAAAGATGATTCCAGGGCTGGCAGAGTGGCTCAAGTGATAGAGTGCCTATATAGCAAGCGTGAGGCCCTGAGTTCAAACCCCAGTGCCACACACACACACACACACACACACAAAAGTGCAAAAAAGATTCTGAAGAGCACGATTAATCTGTATCAACATGTGGAAAAGTCAGAGACAGCTGGAAACTTTTGACATGGAGAGAGTCTTCTTAGGTTAAAATAATAATGGCTGTATAAAGCTCTCCTCTGTGTGCTTAAAGAGGAGAGCCTGGCAGAACTGCCTTTTATGAGGTCAGGCATGGCTAGGCTGCTTTAGAACTTCACACCCCAGCCCTTTCAATGAATGAAGGGAAGTTGTGCAGGCACTGGCAGGCACTGGCATAATTTCAGCCTTTCCTCTGCCAGGCACTGGCCCAGTGTTTCACGCGCATTCACTTTGCCTAAGGGCACACAACTACAAACTTGGGTTTGAATCCAGATGGTGAGAGGCATGGCTTGTGCTGGGCCAGTCAGTACTGGCTGCTCTAACAAAATCCTTTGGTCTCTGTAATTTAGAAACAACAGAAGTTAATTGCTCACAGTTCTGGAGGCTGGGAGGTCTAAGATGAAGGGAGCAGCAGATTCAATTTCTTTCCTGACCTATTCCTCACAGGTGGCACCTTCTATGTATCCTCACATGGTAGAAAAGCAAGGAGGGTCCCTCAAGCCTTTTGTGTAAGGCACCAATCCCACAGTCAGAGCCCTGGTGATTCTAGTGGACAAAGGGCCACTACCTTGTACCACCACACTGGGGATGGACTGTGGGGGGCCGAGGAGTCACAAACATTCAAACCACAGCATCACCTATCCTCTTTATTATTATTCTCATAATGAAAGCTGGCGAAGGGCATGGTGACTCATGCCTGTAATCCCAGCTACTCGGGAGGTGGAGATCCTGAGGATCATGAGGCCCAGGCAAAAAGTTAGTGAGGCTCCATCTCAACAAGCCAGGCATAGTGATACATGCCTGTCATCCAAGCTACACAGGAGGAATAGGTAGAAGGACCACAGTCCAGTGTAAAGCAGAAGATGGAGGATTTGGGTGGGAGGCATGGCTCAAGTGGTACAGAGCCCTGAGTTCAAACTCCAGTATTGAAGAGACAGAGAGACAGGCACATGCCAAGAAAAGAAAAAAAAAGAAGGAAGTAAGGAGAAAGAGAGAGAGAGAGAGAGAGAGAGAGAGAGAGAGGGAAAGAAAGAGGGAAAGAGAAAGAGAGAAAGAGAAAGAAAAAAAAGTAAGTCTTGTGAAAGTTAACTTGCTAAGATACTCATTTGTAGCCAACCAACAAATACCTGTTATTAACTTGAACCAAGAGGCCTAGTGAGTCATGATGGAGACATGAAGGAGAACTGTCTGTCTCAAAGGCTGTTTCTTTTCTCATCGTTGTGAGACAGCAAAAGGGAACTTCTTCTAGAACCCTACCCAGAGATATATTGATTGAGAATTGGCATAGAAGGTGGTGGGATAAGAACAGGGAAGGGTGTGCAAACAAACCCTGTCATAGACACAGTTGAAAATTCCAGAGCTGTGCAACCTGAAACAATAGCCTTGCCTTGAAAGGACAAGCTGGAGAGGACCAGGAACAGCCACGTGGGAAACTAGAAGGATCCCTGCCTAGAGAGGGCAGTAGGCCTGTCCTGCTTGGCTTTAATGAGTCCAACATGGGTAGGGGTTCTGAACCATTTCCAAGGCCTGGGTTCTTTTTTTTTATTTTTTGGCAATTCTGGGGTTTCAACTCAGGCATGCTTGCTAGACAGGCACTCTACTACTTGAGCCACTCGAGTCTCCAGCCCTTTTTTTGTGTTGGGTATTTTCAGGATAGAGTTTTGTGAACTATCTCACCAGGCTGGCTTCAAACCCTAATTTTCCTTATCTCAACCTCCCAGGTAGTTAGAATTATAGGTGTGAGCCACCAATCCCCAGCTAAGTCCTGGATTCTTTAAGAACTGATAAGAGCTATGGACATACACACATCAACACAAAATTTCACATTTCTTGGGGCTTGTGGACTTTATAAAGTTGAAAACACAGGTTAAGATCCGTTAGCCTAAAGTAAAAACAACAAGAAGAACTTCCACTATTTAACACACCATGGGACAGGATCTCTGGCTGTAGTGAGGTCCTATCCAAGACTATTCCAGCAGATGTGAGACCACTGCCTTCTGTGGATAGGGGAGAGGAGAGAGAGCCTGGCAGGAAGCAGAAGCTTGGACGACACAATCCCTGGTGTCCCTTCCAACACAGTTCATCTGGTTCTTCTTGTCCTTCTTTTTCCAAGATTGGCTCATCTATATCTGAGCATTCTGAGAATATATGTTTACAAAGGATTTTTAGATTTCTGGAATAAATATGGACTTTAAGGAAAAAAAGTAACAGGATTCTTTGGATTGAAGCTGTGGTGGCCCCAGTCCCATCAAAAACAAAACAAAACAAAAAAGACACGGTGAATTATATAGAATGGTAGATATGTCAGAATAAACTAAAATGAAACATAGGAAAAATCACAGACATCTTATCTTGGTTCCAATTTTTTGTCTTAAAAAGTAGCCTTTTTAAGGGGGCCACTAGGCCTGGGAGCATCACTTGCACACCTGACCCTTGTACCTCTGTGACTTCTAGGTGCTGCATCCCACGGGGACCTCACAGAGAAACTCAAACTCCTGTACAAAATGCATGTCTTGCCTGGTAAGTGAGCCACACGGAGCAGCACATGTATGGGTAAGCAGGACCTGTAATGAAATCTCTTTTTTTTTTTTTTTTTGGTGTGTGCCATCTGCCTGTTTTTGACAGAAAAGGTGCCATTGAGGACAAACTGAATAGCTACTATTCAGTTCCTGAATCAGCACCTGCCTCAAACAGGAATTGGGGTCATAGAAAACAGTGCAGGCACCTGGAAAAGGAAGAGGAAAGGACATTTGGTCACATGTGGGACACAAGGATTGCGAGAGAGGACATGACGGAGATAGTGCTGGGTGTCTGAGTCTTGGGGGAGCCATTTTACCATTGGCAGAAATGAGCAGGCACAATGCTGAGGTTTTGAGTTCAGCTGTAAACAAGGCTTAGCTGGGATATAGCTAGAAAATATTTAGAAAAGTAAAAATAAGAAGAGGCTGGCATGAAGGATAGAGGTTAAAACTGTAGATTGGGGTATTTTCTTCATCCAATGTCTTAAATTTGGTTTGTAAAGTATTATTCAAAAAAAAAAAAATTCAGGCGATTCTCCATAAAAAGGAAAGTGTAAAGGGACACTTTGGAGTGACGTTGTTAAAAAACAAGATGGGGATGGAAATGGTGTGACCTGTACTCAGGTTTAAGAGACAACAAGCCTCTAGCATGTGATTCATCTCACCATTAGAACTTTGGATTTTCATCCTCCCATAATTCCTTGAGTACAGTCCTGCCAATGTGATAGCCATGTTTTCTCCCTCTCCAGAGCCATCCTCTGATCAAGATGAGCCAGACTCTGCTTTTGAAGCAACTCAGTACTTCTTTGAAGATATCACCCCAGAATGCACTCATGGTAGGTGACCTTTCTCTTTAGGGCACTATATTTATTGTCCACAGGGCCCTCTGTTATTGGAAAGAGACTTGTCTCCAAAGCTAGCCAGCCAAAGAAGTATGGCTGCCTGATATGTTACTTTCCCTTCAAATTTTCAAGGGTAGGCCCCCACTGGGGAGCAGGTGCTTTAATCTCCCAAAGGGAACCTGAATATTGAGACTCCCTGGCTCAGGACAAGCTACGTGTTTGCTTCCCTCCCCTGCTGGGACCAGGCTCATTAAGAATGTTGTCCTGTTAGTATACAGCTGTCCAGAATTGCTGTTGGTGTTTACATTAGAAGCCATGTTTCTATGTGTGTCTGGGTCCCTTAACAGGAGCTGGCAAACTAACCCATAGGACAAACTCAACTCACTGTTTTATTTTATACAGTCTGTGAGCTAAGAATGGTTTTTACATTTTAAAATGTTTTTTTATAGTCACAACTAAACTATTATTTCTTGCCATGTGTAAAGCACATCAAATTTTCACTTTAGTGTCTGTAAATAAAGTTTTGTTGGAACACAGCCATGCTTATTCATATATATTGCCCGTGGCTGTTTTCATGCTGCACTGGAAGAACTAAGCAGTTGAGACAGAAACCATGTGGCCTACAAAGATTAAAATGCAGTCGGTCCTCCTCCATATCCACAGCCAACTGTGTATGGAAAACTCTCAGAAAAAAAACTGCATCTGTTCTAAGCACATACAGAGCTTTGTTCTTGTCATTGAAGGTTGGCCTTAAACTCGAAAGCCTCCTGCCTCAACTCCCTCGTAACTTGGATTACAGGCATGCACCACATCTCACCAACGATGTTCTTCTAATTCTAAAAGTAGAACTGCTTAATGTTGAATGTTCTTAAAGATAGATTAAAACATGTAAGATGAGATAAAACTGTTTTCAAATCTTAATCACGCAAAAATAACTGACAATATCTTGAAATATTATTCATTATTTTTATATAAAGTACATGATTATGTATGCACAAACAAACATACATGTATAAACTGGTATCAAACTACCTATACGATTTTATTTTTTTTAAATGTCAGTCTTAAAATACTTAGTGTGTGTATGTGTTTTATTAATTATACTTTGAGCTTTTCTTTTTGGTGCCACTGGGGTTTGAACTCAGGGCCTCATGCTTGCTAGGCCAGTGCTCTACCACATTAGACTTTTCAAGATGGGGTCTCATGAACTGTATTTGCTTGGGCTGGCATGGAACCATGATCCTCCTGCTCTCTGCCTGCTAATAGCAAGGATCAGGTGTGAGCCACCTGTTCCCAGCTACCTATAGAATTTTGCATCTTAGTTTTTCACTTAAAATCCAGTGAAAATGCTAATGTCATTAAAAATTCTTTGAAAACATAGCTTTTAAACATTTTCACAATAACCACTGCATACACTTACAACACTGAAATATTTTAGATATCTACTTGTTTCCTAAGTCATTTTCAACATTCAGAGAGGAGGAATTTTCCTGTGGGCACAGTACACTGTCGGCTGTCTGGGTGAAGAGCTGTCTGACACCATATACTGGAAGGGTCAGGTGACTTTTAGGCCAGCCACATTTGGGGATATGCTCTTCCGGCTGACAAAGTCCACAGTTCTGAGGGCATTGCACACCTTCCTTTTTGGAAGTCCAACTGCAATGTCCAGTTTTAAGAAGAAAAAGAAAAGTTATAAATGTGTTCTTTAAAAATCATACATTTGAAATGCCAAACTATGAATCTTGAGGGACTTGGTAGCACATAACATTTTAGCAAAAGAATTTTTTTTCCTTCTACCAACATAGATTTTAATTTCCCAGAAATTAAAGTTAAGTTCCTGATCTTTTTCAGGGCCTGGCAAAAAATCAATCTCACTTACACAAAGATGATAATATGGCAAGGAAGGGAGAGAAATCACATCACTGGGACAACCACCAGCATGTTTTATAAGCTCTGACAACCACATGACTTCATCCCTTTAATTTTTAATTGTGTACTGAATCCAAACTGTTAGAAAGAAATCTGGGAGAATCCATCACCCTGGGATGAGACTGTCAGATAAAACATGGGACATCCAGTAAATTCGAAATACAGATAAAAGATAATTTTCTCAGTATAAATATGCATGCCCCATGTAATATTAGAGACATACTGTGGCCAAAAATGTTCTTGCTGTTTGTCTGAAATTCCAATTTAACTGGGAGTGCTTGGGTTTTGCTTTGTCTGCTAGACCAGGCCATCTTTCCTACAGTTCTTCTATTTTCTACTACAAATGCTAAGTCCCTGCTTTATTATATAACATCCTGCCATTCTCTTAACATCTCTTGGTAGTTGTTGGGTTGGACAGCAGAAGCAAACAGAGTGCTGATGATGGCTTTGTCACAGTGAGTCTGAGGCAAGACAAAGGTACCATATTCTCTTCTGTTTTTACCATTTTGCTAGTTGAGCACTTGTTTCTTGACCTATGAATGCTTACTTCTTGACATTTGGCTTTTAGGAAAGAGGGCAAATTCTCAAGAAAATCGTAATTATCTGAGACTCTGGACCCCAGAAAATAAGTCTAAATCAAAGAATGCTAAGGATTTACCCAAACTGAATCAGGTAAGTGCTTACCCATTTAGTTCATTCATTGCTAACCCTGAAGCTGTTTGTTTTCTTTTTCCCCTGTCATCCATACATGTATAATAAATACCTCTCAACGTCAGTGGTAACTTAGGGGCTTTTAATTAGTATCTGTTTGGATCTATTTTTATGCATCAAAAATACATTATTTATTCTTAAATAAAAATTTGTTCTTGCAAAAATAATATATGTGAGAATGAGCTCCTCAGAGAAAATTTGAGTCACAAAATACACAATTTTGAGAGTACAAATATCTCACCCCAATCATAAAAAATACCCACAAACACTCCAAAGATAAGCCCGTGCAGTCTTCATATCTCTGTGCCAGCCCAGGAAGATGTCTGCTACACGTTTTCCTTAAAAAGCTGAAATGTGGAGGCTGGTGGAGTGGCTGAACAGTAACATGCCTGCCTAGCAAGCATGAAGCCTTGAGTTCAAACCCCAGTACTACCCAATAAATAAATAGACCTAAAGCATAATGAGGGAGAAAAAAGTAATATAAATAATTACAAAACAGGGTAAATGCTAAGTTTCCTAACAGAAGAACAGAGAGGTCATCTGACTGGGAATGAAGGTGTTAACTCTGGGGAGATGAGGGGCTATGTCACGAGAGTGCTAAAGTTAGAAAATTTGAGGTGTCTATGAAAGTAGGTAGATGTGAGATGGGATGATTGTGGGATTTTCTTTTTCAATTAAAAAAAAAAGATAATGAAGCAAAGTATGACCTCTAACTCTAGGTGATAGGTCCATGAATGGTTCTTATTTCATTCTTTCTACTTTCATGGATGTTTGAAATTTTCAGATTAAAAAAGGAATAGAAATCCCAATAAAGAAACTAAACAATGTGTCCATCCATCCCCCATAGAGGGCTTTTTGGGGTTCTTTAGGAGTCACTCCATCATTTCAATGGTTTTTCAGATCTTGCTCTCTGCTCCCCACAGGAGCTCATGATCTTTGTGACTTCCACTCACTTTTCAGGGCCAGTTTATTGAGCTGTGTAAGACAATGTATAACATGTTCAGCGAGGACCCCAACGAGCAGGAGCTGTACCACGCCACCGCAGCAGTGACCAGTCTCCTGCTGGAGATCGGAGAGGTGGGCAAGCTGTTCATCGCCCAGCCTGCCAAGGAGGGTGGGGTTAGTGGCAGTGGGCAGCCCTGCAGCCAAGCCATCCCAGGCGTGCTCTTCCCCAAGAAGGGGCCCGGCCAGCCCTACATGGTGGAGTCTGCAGAGCCACTCCGGCCAGCCTGGCAGCGGACAGTGAGGAACACTCCCTGGGGGGGCAGATGGAGGACATTAAGCTGGAGGACTCCTCACCCCGGGACAATGGGGCCTGCTCCTCCATGCTCATCTCTGACGATGACACCAAGGATGACAGCTCCATGTCCTCATACTCAGTACTCAGTGCTGGCTCTCACGAGGAGGACAAGCTGCACTGCGAGGACATAGGGGAGGACACAGTCCTGGTGCGCAGTGGCCAGGGCACGGCAGCACTGCCCCGGAGCACCAGCCTAGACCGGGACTGGGCCATCACCTTCGAGCAGTTCCTGGCGTCCCTCTTGACCGAGCCTGCCCTGGTCAAGTACTTTGACAAGCCTGTGTGCATGATGGCCAGGATTACCAATGCAAAAAACACCCGGATGATGGGCAAACCCCTCACCTCGGCCAGTGACTATGAGATTTCAGCCATGTCAGGCTGACGGGTGGCACCCTCACTGGGGACAGGGAGGAAGCGGGGGCAAGGGGCTTTTTTTTTATGTTCTTCTGTGTTGCGGTTTCTTTTCTTTTAAATTAAATATTTATTAGTATCTGGCTTTAAGCCTAATGTTTTCATATTATAATATGATGAAAACTGTTGAGAAATATTTAAACACCTCGGGGAGGGGGGCTACCAGTGAACTCCCCCAAAAGATGAATCTGTCAGTGACATGTGTGTATTATAACCTACTACTTGTGCTGTTGAGCCTTATCCATGGTTTAAAAACAGTGCTGTTTAAAGCTAAGGCAGCATCATTTGTGGGTTTGGGCTTTTAAGTAAAATTAGGTCTGTAAGGAAGATGAAATGTTCTAGAAGGAAAGGTATTGTCAGCTGGGGTAAATCCTATACCACTTCAGCAAGTATAAAAACATTTTTTAAGATTTGGAATATATTTCATAAAAGCCCACTATTCTAAAATCACATTCTATAAGTGTTCCCCTTCAAGAGAAAACATTTGGGGTTCCAAACAACTATTAAAGTGTAGGTGATTTTTTATATAATATTGGCATAACACTCATATTTGACCAATTTGGACACACACAATTTTGCATTAACAAATTGTTCTGATTGTTGTTGTCAGCTGAACAGAATCCACTGAAAGCAAAGCAGCTTTCGTTTCAGCGAATCTGAATGTAGCAGCGAAGACCACAGAGGGCTCGGGATAGACTTTTGCTTTTCTGTGTTTTGTTTTTGAAAAAGTAAAATTACTTATGCTTCTGACACTGGATTTTCAGCTTCTTGTCACTCACTGCAAATAAAGCAAAAAAATAAAACAATGAACTTTACCATTTGCATAGACTCAAGAAATGATACTATGTATTGCATATGACTATCTTCCCATTAAATCCATGTAGAGATATTGTAAGATTACGTAACTACATGTTTTAAAACGGAACTTGTCACTTTATATAAAAGAATAGTACTCTATTTCCTGAAAGGATGTGGAGATGAAAGCTAGCACACCTGCACTTTGAATTCTTGCTGTTTTTTTTCAGTTATGGTTTTGTTTTTTACAGACGGTGGGAGACAATTTTCTTCTGTCGAATTCACAATCATGTTCACATTTCCTTTGCTTATTATGAATATTCACACATTCCTTTTATTTTCTTACACATTGTTTTTATTTTAGCTGTTACTGCTGTCATTTTTTAATTTTGTTTACAGGATGATTTTTAAACTGTCAAATGAAGTAGTGGTAACCTCACATAGGATAAATGTGAATAAAATAATTCTGATAAGGCTTTTTGTCTGTGTGTGTTTTCTTGACAGTTTCATAGGTAAAGTTTTAGTAGGCAAGCATTTTGACTAGGTAAGTGAATTTTTATTGGCATATATTTTGAGATAAAATGCATAGCATATCAAGGAGTGTATTTGAAATAAGAGAATTATCAGTTATCTAATTCACAATACTTCTCCCACAAGTGAAACCAGCCCAAAACTCCTGTGTTTAATCCTGATGAATACACTGTGACACCATGTGTCAAGTCACTAGTTGTTTGATTTGACTCTAAGACTGTTACACATTATTCCATGTATTTCCATCTTCAAAAATCACTTCCATATGCCGCAAAAAAAAAAATAATAATAATAATCCTGTAAAATCTGATGCTCTCCACACACCTCCACCTTGCCAAAGTGAGAGATGGGGCTGGGAAAGAGGGAGCATGACGTGGGACTTGAAGGAGAGGAGCAGAGTGTCCTGTTGCCATGGAGATAGAGTGGACTGCGTGGGGATCTCCGCACGCCGGACGCTAAGACCCCTCCATGGTGGCCGTCGGATAGTGGGGAGGCCCGGCCGTTGGGCTGGAGTTTCCATCTTCGTCTGTGTGACCGCAGGCTTGTCTCCCCGAGGACAGCAGGTCCTCTGAGACAGAGTCCGCTCCCGGCCTGCCTTGACGGCCATGTCCCAGCTCCACGGCTCACTCTCTGGGTCGCACTTTACGGGGACCACTTTTATGAGGTCGCTTGGCGCAGCTCTGGGATCCTTCCACGAGGGACTCGGTGTTCCCCGTCCTCAGAGCCCTACAAAGGCATGGCGGGGCCTCAGGGCCGCTCGCCCGCTCCGACGCCGGAAGTGACACCGGAAGTGGCAGCTCGGCCAGGGCAAGGAGCGAGCTCAGCGCGCGGGACCCGGATGCTGCGGAGGCGAGCGTCCACGAGAGAGGCCGCGGGTCCGAGGGCGCCTCGAGCGGGGTGCGGAGCGCCCGGGGACCGCCACGGGGAAGCAGGATGCTCGGGGCCAGTCCATCCGCGTCCTGGCCATGGTGACACCAGCCGCAGGTGGAGGGCAAGGCCCTTCAGGGAGGGTGGCCGGGCTTCTCCTCTCGGTCTGGGCTCCAGGGACCACGGATCTCACTAGTTTAGCCTCAGCCTGGGCTCCCACAGAAGCTGCATCTGGAGAGCCTAAGCTCAGCGCCATCTTTCTTCCTGAACGTAACAGTGAAGCCCGCGGCCCCCCTCCTCCACTCCACTGAAGACGCCTCTGCTTGCGTTCCTCGGCTTGGACGTCTCTGATTGGGCTCCTCTATTGGGTGCCTCTGATTGGGCTCTTCTGATTGGGTGCCTGATTGGGCTCCTCTGATTGGGCTCTTCTGATTGGGCTTTCTCCACTCCCCATCCAATAAGAAAGCCCTTGTGTTACAGCGCCACCTTTTAAATGGAAGAGCACAGCAATCATGGGGTGAGTGTAAAGCTTTTCACCCTGTCTTCTGCTTCCTAGTGGCTCTTGGGGTTGGAGGAGAGGGGACAGAGAGGGTGTTAGAAAGAGGGAGGGTTGAAGAAGCCAGGTAAGTATGGACAGAAGCCCATTACTCTGTACAATTAATATGAGCTAATCATCTGTTACATAATATTTAGGACCCTGTGCCTCTGTTGAGTATCTTCCTGGCAGTGTGTTTCTGTGAAAGGGAGCAAGGAGCCAACGGGACGAACCGGTGGACAGCGACAGGGTCTGGAAGCCTGAGGGTCTGTTCTGCGGGCTCTGGAGGAGACACTGGGACTGAGCCCCAGCGCCAGTTCTTCTGGTCACTCTTGTCTCTGCCCTCTGGCTGTTGCCAGCTACATCACCTGAGTCCAACTGTGGATCTGTTGATAGGCTCATATGCTATTTCATCTACCCTTTTCACTCCACATTACATTTTTATAGATCACCTTTAAACAAAATAGCAATCCCAGCTACAAGTCACAAAATAAGAAAAGATCAATTGCTTTTTACTTAAAAGAACAAAACATGTCAGCCTGCTCTCAGCGTTGTGCATCTTCTTGACACCTTTGACCAGTGTCTGGTGATCCAGTCCCTATGCAACAGTGTCACCTCCAAGGGGAAGTCAGAGGCTGGAGTTCTGATAAAAAGTAACACACAAGTTTATCGACCCTGGTCTGGCAACTCCAGTAAGTGGGTCTGTTGTTCACTAACTGGAAAGCAGTCATTCAGAATGGCCCCTTAGCCATGGGTCCATCTAAGTGTGATATAATTGCTCTCCAATTGCTTGCAGAAGCATGAAATGATAGTTCACGATGCTACTCTTTTCTATCTGTATAAGAATATTCTTGTCAAGCCTGTAGATTACAAAAGAGGTTGCCATTTCATTTCTCTGCTCCTAGCTCCTCCCCTTACACCCTCAAGTTACTCTTTTAAGTCACTGCCTGTGTGATCTCCAAAGCGTCAATGTAATCAGGTTTTCCAGGTTTCCAACTTCTCATCAACCCAACTTCCCACAGTAACAAACAAGCAGTAAGAATGTTTCTTACCAGACACTGAGTACATCTCTGTGCACTAATTTCACAGCACTCATCGAAAAGGAACAAAACATACATACAATAGTGTATGTATTTTTCCCTCTTGCTGGTTTGGTATATTATTTACAGCATCTTTTGTCATACTGTCAAAATCCATGATCCAGGTGTGACATTTCAACCCCTCCCTCAATTTCTGCTGCAAAGTAGACCTAAGAGAAGGAGTGGAAGTGAAAGTAATTTTGGTATAAACCAATATGTGATCAGTATGAAATGCTAAAAGCCAAAAATGAAACCTTAGCATAAGAATTTGGACAGTACTCGTCCACAATTTGTATTGAAGTGGTCAAGTGCTTCTACTGTAATGCAACACAAGATCTCTTCTGCTCATGAGAAGAAATAAAGAGCTGTAATTCATAACAAAATAGCACTGGAACTTGCTACATCCTTCTTGAAAAAGTGCTCATTTAAGCAGAGAAGACATATGGAAGAGACCATGAAGAAAACAAGAGCACAAAATCTTTTGGAATTGGGCCACAGGATTTTTCTCCAACAGCTTGGTCTCGTAAAGAGGAAGGCAGTCTGTAAAAATGTTCAGCTGTGGAATTGCGTAGACATAGGGAGTTCCTAAAAGACAACAAAATAAAATAAAACTATAAACCCCTTTGAAAATGAGTAAGATGAAGCAGCATTAATCACTCACACACTGATTGACCTGGAGATTTCAAACTACATCTTTTTTCTAGATGGAGATGAGCAAAAAGGTCCACCTTAGAGCAAACCATCTCCACTGTGTCTCCCATGCCATGGCCAGGTTTGAGGTGCTGGCTGTGAAATGACAAATGGATGGGGTATTCAGACTTCCCTTACCTTCCCCAGACCCACTGCACCACATCTTCCACCAAGGAAGTCAAGAAAACAGTGATGACCCAGGCAGCCATGAGTCCAGAAAAGGCCCCCATGCTCTGGCAGCCTTTGTTTAAATTTCTAATTTTTAAAAAAATGTTTACTTGTATACTGAGGTTTCTTGGAAAATGACAATTGGTGAAAGACTTGTCACTGGGCATCTCCTTGCTGATAAATTTAGCCACTGTATACTACAGCAGAGCTGTCTCATTGAAACATTAGTGCATCACTCTGTAATATCTATTTTATTTACTTTTTTCATACAAGTAATGCACAGATGCAGCAATCCAAAGTGAGCAGTACTTTAAATAAAAT